AAATACGATGGCAAATTTAATACCAACTTGACGCATCGAGAGCTGCGTTTACATCCGAGTCGGTAATACCATAGAGATCTCGCCGTTAGTTCTCGGTTCTTCTCAAATTTTTGCCTTTTGCTTAAATGAACTGAAAAACCGTCGCTCTAAGCCAACAAGCCAACTGAACTAACCAACTACCTACATTTAGGCTCATATTGTTGTAGCAAGCATAATTAAATATTTAAAGCGCTTGAATTTTTTTCTTTTGTACTCGATTAGTACAAGGGCCGGTATCATCCACACCGTAATCCCCTTTCCTATAATATAAATCCGAACGATCGTCACGTATCGCACTACGTTCTCCTCCTATACTACCGCAGCTTTCCTCGACGTACGAGCGAATCTTGGCCGCCTGCACCCTCGCATTTTCAAAGACAAGGGACGAAAGTACGAGTAAGTTAGCTACCGACTCCTCCGCATCCGCGATCTCGCAAAATGTTGTTTAGACGGGATGAGGGGGGATGGGGAGGGGGATGGAGAGGGGAGCGGGAGGAGGAGGTGACGGAGGGAGACTTCGCGGTTACCGATCGAAAATCCATCTCACCGTTCGCGTCTCGCTTTGTCTTTGTCTGCTCTACCTCAGCATACACTGAAAGCCTAATAATATAACGCGTCGCGAGTCGGAGTTTCACGTAGCGCACGAAGGAATGGCGTGACGAAAGACGTGTAAGAAAAATCGCATCCATACAAATGTTTCGTCGCTAAAGCGAGGGCGAACGTGAACAAATAATGTACGTATATAGGCGCGCGCACACGCGCACGGAGGTCTCTGCGAAATCTCGCTCACGGAGCCTTCGAGAAGCTTTTCCTCTCGGCGACTCTCGCCTCCCTTCTAAGAGCGAGCGAAAGGGAACGATCGCGCGTTTTTCTCATCTCCCGCTCTCGTTCTAACTCTCTCTCTCTCTCTCTCTCTCTCTCTCTCCCTCTCGCGCGCGCGCGCTCTCATTGCTCAGCTCTGATCTGCTTGAACTCTCTCGTCGCACTAGCAACGCGCGCATACAAAAACCTTGCGGTCAAGATGTTAGGTAGACGACGGTAAAGGATAGCCAGCTTAAACGTAAATCCGAGCGCGCTTCCTATCCTGTCTCCGCTGTATCTATATGCTTGCGTACACAGAGGTTCGGAGTGTACAGCATTGGTGAGCCTCCATTACCCGATGCCGTTCTCGTCTTCGTGTTCGTCGTTCTCGTCGTCGTTGTCGTCGTCATCGTCCTCGTCCTCGTCTTCGTTCTCATCTTCCATCTCGTCTTCACTGTCATTGTCATTGTCTTCGTAGTAGTAGCTGTAATAGTAGCAGTAAAAGTAGCAGTAGCACTAGCAGTAGCAGTACAAGTATTGAGACGGTAGTGGTTTAGTCGTCGGCTTTGCGTACGTATGTGGGTGCGCGCGCGCGCGTTTCGAGAATCGCCGTGCTACTACGTAAAATGGCGGTGAGCAACGGTGCGCTGCTGGCGATCACCATCGGCGCTGCCAAGTGCTGAGGGACGACACGCGTTCACGCGCGCGCATCCAAGCCTAGTGAGATCAAAAAGCGAGCCCGTGACGTGGAGCCTCTTACTCCAGGTACTCGTCCTCCTCTCTCTCTCTCTCATCCCGTGGAGTACCCAGATTATCGTTGCTATCGTCTTCGATCATCGACGACGTCGTCCTCGTCGTCGTTATCCTCTTTCTCGTCTTCCTCTTCGCCTTCGTTACCACCTCGAGTGTATACGTGCATATGTAATTGCAAGAGCAGCAATAGCGGTAGTGGCGGCGGTAGCAGCGGCGGCGGCGGTGGCGGCGGCGGCGGCGGCCGCGGAGGTGGTGGTGGCGGCTCGGCAGCGTACACGCGCGCAGACGCATCGGCGATTCGAGAGCGAGGTCGAGAACGACAGGCAGGATTTTAACGGGGGGAACCCTCTAGCCCCTAGCTCTAGGTCCCGGTGCTAACGGCCGAGGAGACGGCGACTCTTCCCCCGCGGCGAGGGCGCGTTCGAAGCCGGCGCTCGCTCGCTTCCACCGATCCCTCCGCAGCTACGTCTTCTCGGGAGGGTTAAAGGAGGACACGGAGCGAGAAGGACAGAGAGAGAGAGAGAGAGAGAGAGAGAGAGAGAGAGAAAGAAGTCCAAAGTATATACTGTTATCCCCGTTGGACGCGCGAGTGAAATAGATATAGAAGTACGTGTGAGAGAGGACGAGAGATAGAGTGAGATAGAGTGTGATAGAGTGAGAGAGAGAGAGAGAGAGAGAGAGAGAGAGAGCGAACCGAGAGTCCACAACACCACGATCATCGACAGACCGTCGTGCGGCGCAGCGACGGATAGAGCCGCGCGATGCCCCTGCTGACGCGTATCGCGTCCGATTTACCTGAGCAACAACAGCAGCCGCAGCAGGAGCAACACCACGAGAGCGTCGCCAGCTACGGCGAGGACGAAGGAGCTCCTTCAGCGTGGACGACGACCGTAGAAGTAGACAAGGTCGCTACACAGTGAGTACGCATTTTTCTTTCTCCTTCAGTCGCGCCTCGTCTTCGTCTCGCTCCGCTGCGAGCTGCGCACCTTGTTAGACGGCCGTGCTCCAGGAGGAGTTGCTTGCGAGCCAAGAGAACCTCCTCATCGATTCTCGTATACGAAATTTTATTTTTGCCTTGTGGATGGTGCCTGCCGCCAGTGTTCCGGATATTATGATGCCCGGCCTAATGCGTACATTATTCGTGTCCCTCTTGACTCCCGAGGATCCTCGAGCCATTATTGTACGCACATAGGTTAGGTTGTGGAAACTCTCTTGTGTTTTTTTTTTTCTTTTTTTTTTTCTTTTTTTTTTTTTTTTTTCTTTCTCCATCGCAGCACAATACGCATGCAGGTGGCGGAGAAAGTCGAGATATCAAATGGAGACAGCGAGTCAGGGGTACGCGAGGGAGGGCGTGAAGGGAGGACGGGAGGGGGAGGGGGAGGGAGAGAGGGAGCGAGCGAACGAGGTAAAGAGCGCTCACGAGAGAGAGAGAGAAAGAGAGAGAGAGAGAGAGAGAGCGAGAGTGTGTGCGTGCGTGCGCGTGCGTGTGTGCATGTGTATGCGAGTGAGAGGGGCTGGCGGGCGGGCAGAGGGACGAGTGATCGCTCGCAAGGTGTACGTGCGTGTGCGTGAGATATATGGAGAATCTCGTAGCAAACAAATTTCGGGCATTGGCGAGAATGTGCCGAAAAGTAGTAACCGATTGTGCTGCTCGGATTATCCTCGGCTGTAAATCCGAGATTATCGAACGGGGAACTACGATAAAAATAAAGGAAAGTCAGTACTCGCGATCTAGTTGGCAATTTCGTATTCACCAAGTATTTAAGATGTGGCTGCAACTTAATCGATTTAAAATTAATCAACGATTGAAGTCACTTTTATTATACAGTCAGTATTATATTATTCACGTACATACGCGAATTCTTATAAATGTGTCTTTTATCTTTTATCGTGTTGTTTAATCTCGTTAGGTGGCAAAGGCTGACTAATTCTTGACAAAATATTTTCAAACGCGAAAATTCGAAACACTACGTAATTTTTTCTTCATCGTTTCTTTTTTTTTTCTTTATTTCTTTTTTTCAATCTCTCTCTCTCTCTCTCTCTCTCTCTCTCTATTTTATTTCGTTCCTCCTTTTGCCAACTTTGGGAAGGGAAAGGGGAACAGAATTATAATTATTTACATGTTATAAGAATTATATTTATTACTGTAACAAAGTTTTTAATTGAAAAACGTGAGGTACGTTGGCGCTTATTTTTCATTCTCGGTAATGTGTTTTAAAAAAACTTTTTTTTTTTTTTTTTGTTTGTTTGTTTCTTTTCAGTCTTTGAAAATTATTGACCTTTTTTTTTTTCAAGCGCGCACCAGTAGGCACGAATCCTGCAGCCGAATCGATATATTTTAAATTTGAAATTGGAGTAATCCAATGTAAGAGAGAAGAAAGACATTAACCCGACATCTAATTGGTACGTAATTAGCCTTAGGCGAATGAAAGATGTGCATAAACTTAGCATAACCGTTTTGCGCAGCGTTCGAGCAATAACAACGTCCTTATTTAATACCTTTTTCAATGCTATTCTTCCGCGCTGTTTTCCCGTTATCTATATGGTTCTATATGCGCACGTATTTACACGTAAACCGTAGTTACCACCACTCGTATGTAACATAATGAAACAAAAAAGGTTAGGTTAACTTTTCTCCGTTTACTTCGTGATGAAAATTTATTTCAATATCGGGCTTTCGCGCAAACTTACACAACCGCAGCGACGACGTCCGACATGCTGGCTCTACAAAATCGCCCGAAAGTAGTTTTTACGTATAGTCGAAGACATTGACACGGACCCTTGAGTTGGTAATGGACTTGCTGGCCGAACTCCGTCATTATTAGACCTTCTTTGTCGATCGTCGTTTGTTCTTTATTTCAACGTTGCGCAGATATTTCCCGGTTCGTGCTTAATGCGAGACCTGGGACGACGAGGTTAGGAGTGACTCTGCAGTTTGCAATAAAAAGAAAAAGAAGCGTTTTCAGAAATTGGCCGCACGTTTCGGCGCGCTGAGTCGGCCGCTTTTCTTTCCTCGTTCGGAATCTCACGTGCCTGACAAAAGTGTATTGAACCACATTATAAATAATACTCGAGCATTTTTCGGTACTGCCACTGGATGTGCTCGCCAAGTCTTTGTTCCAATGATAAAGAAATGAAAAAGAGTTACAATTTCTTAGACAAGTTTTATCGTCGTCAAATTTATCATCGTTTCTTCACGCAGTACTGCTCGTCGCTGAGTTATGATTATTCATAATGTTTTCATAATTTATCAATATATTTCATCATACGACTTTTTAAAGCAAGCTGGCCTCTTTCGTACTACTTGTGAAAACGTAATTGCATGATTGTTAATTATTTTTATTCCTTTTAATCACAAGAGACTTTTATGATTGCAGATTTTAATTTTTCGATAAATACATCGCCACAATGAAGATCGACAGGAGCAGACTGAAAAAGTACACTTCGGAAGTGGTTAGTACGACAAGCAGTAGCTTGATATTATAATTGCTTAGTAGAATGTCGGAGCCAAAAATCTTCATCGATCAAAAATCTCTTATTTTAGCCGACGGAGTGCCAAGCTCTGATAAGCAAGCTGCGCTCCTGTTCGCACGCCGAATTATTGGAGGAGCTGAAACAGATAGACGCCTGGACTTTTGGCAAATGTGAATTGTTTCATTGGATCGATGTTTTGGATCTCAATGACAGTATTTTGGAGGAGGCAGCGGCCAAGAGTCCGGATAATTCCTGGGAATTGGCCTGCGATCTTCCACAAAACAGAGAGGTACGTTCACTGTTTATCTTAACACTTAACGATTACGATGCACCAACATATGCCAAGCTACGGTAAAATTAAAATCATCGTTACAAAATTTTTGGCTTCTTACATTTGTTTGTTCGAGCAATATATTGCCAATTTCTATAAATTCTATTAAAAAAAGTCTATTGTAATATTAGCAATACGTAGATAAAACTTATGGCTTATTGAGAACTTATTGGGAATTGCCGATAAGAATATATAGGCCTACTTCCATATACTTACTTGATAAGCGTTTGGCAAATATTGATGGGAGGAGTAATAACACTAGTATAAACAATTTATTTAATATTATTATATTTTCCTTAGGCAAAAGAATTATTACTTTGGGTTCTTCATTTTACTACTCTACTTATAGAACATTCTTTCTCACGACACTTGTATAATAGTATGGAACACCTTGTTACCTTGCTGTCTAGTTGCGACATGCACGTTGTTCTTGGTGTTTTGAATCTTCTGTATATGTTCAGTAAAAGAAGTAACTTCATTACGCGATTAAATAGTGACAAAAGACAAGCTTTACTTAGCCGATTAAATCATTTAGCAGAGGTAAGCATTAAAGTTTTATTCACAATCTAAAACTATTTTAATTTTATAGATACTAATCTATTTTGTATTTTACACAGAGTTGGGGTGGTAAGGAAAATGGTTTCGGTCTGGCTGATTGTTGTAAGGAACATCCGGAAAAGGTAAATGACTTTTCATATAATCTAAAACCAAATATATACATTTTCTAAAAACTTTATCAACTTACATCGTTCACTACTTTGGTTTCCAAAAAAATATTTAAATATTTTTGGCCACCATAACTTTTGATTCTATCGACTTGTTGTTACATTATCTGCTTTTTATCATATTGCTAATCAATGAATGAAACATTATTTAAATAAATAATAAGGGACATTTACAAATTACATTGAATAACTTTACAATATATTTTCTCACTATATTCTTCTCTTCTTTACAGCCTTTTCCAGCTAGTGCGACAACATTACATTTCGAATTTTACGCTGAAAATTCACCTTGCAGTAGTAGTGTAAAAAAGACTGTTCAGACGAATCTTGTAACATATATACACATTGAAAATGTAGATAAACTTGGAAAAACTCCTGCACAAATTATGAACGACTTACTGAAAATGTATAATGTACCTCAGGAACGCCAGGTATAGATTTCTTAATAATTTATACAAAACAGACATACAATTAATATTAAATTACTAAGGTCAACAACTTGTTTGTAGACAAATAAATCTGCCAAATTAATAACTTAGATATATTAGATATTATCATTTTAAATATTCACATTTACAAAGTGAAAGTCTTTAAAAAAAAAAAAGTATTTTGCATTTATTATTTCATTAAACACGAGGCGAACTTTAACCTTTCGATTTCAGATGGCTCTTCTAACGCATATTAGGTTAGCACACAGCTTTTCCGATTATAGACGTCGCTTACAGTGTGTTCAAGCTCGTCTGCAAGCACTTTCTATTCTTGTGTATAACAATGCGCTTCAAGAGAACGCGCACAGTCTACTTCATGCTGGACTTCTCGAAGAGCTAGTAGAACTACTTGAACTTCCACACACCCACTTGGTTGAAATTCGAGCGGCAGCTCTGCGAACTTTAACGAGTATAATTCATCTAGACAGGAACCCACATCATCCCAAGTGAGTAGTTCATTCATTTCAATTATTACAATAATAATAGTCAGCTGAGGCCAACCGCAATTGGTACAACTCTTGTAATCATTCGTTATTCCATCCCCAACAGGAAATCTGGTTCCCGATTAAATATGATAATCGATGTGACGGGCGCGAGCTCGTATCACGGATTTCTCCCGGTGCTCGTGCGAACGTGCATAACAACATTGACATCGCCACAGCCAGATGGGCAACCTTTCCCTCTGCCACTCGCAACAGCACTTTTCAGTTTTCTTTATCACCTCGGTAGCTACGAAGCCGGCGGAGAGGCGCTCGTTAGTTGCGGAATGATGGAAAGTCTTCTAAAAGTTATTAATTGGCCTGGTAGAGAATTAGAGCACATCACCGTATGTATAATTTATTTATTGACATAAATAAACTCTTTTATACTTAATTTTACACTTGGTACTCACACCGGCGCTTCCGCTTTCATCCGCTTTATCAATTTAATTTTAGATTTTTTGTGAAATTTCGTATATGTGAAAGAGTTGATTTTGAGAAAAATCGTTTACGCTGATATTGACGTGATTATCCTTCATTTCAGTTTGTTACCAGAGCAGTGAGAGTTATAGACTTAATAACGAATATAGATATGCAAGGATTCCAAGCTCACAACGGTTTGGCTAGTTTTATCAAAAGACTCGACATGGAGGTGAACGTGTGTCGGAAAGAGCAGCCTTTCGAAATTGAGCCAGACAGCGATACGCTGGAGACGCCTCAGCCCGTCACGGAAGAATCCGCAGGTTCAAGCTCGAGTTCGTCCCGTCGCGCTAACGAGACGTTTGACGATCGCGAGGAAGCATTGAATCCCATGGAATTCTCCGAGGATGAGAATATGAGCTCGAAGGCCGAAAGCAGCAATAAACCAGTTCAACAACAGACATACTCCGCAGTAAAAAACGGAAAGACGTGCTTACCACAGCGAGCTGCGCTACTGAAATCTATGTTTAATTTCCTTAAGAAGGTTATTCAAGATCCCACTTTTTCAGACAGCATACGGCACATAATGGAAGGAACACTACCGTCTTCCCTAAAGCACATCATTAGCAATTCGGAATATTATGGCCCATCATTATTTTTGCTTGCTACCGACGTCGTTACAGTTTATGTATTTCAAGAGCCATCCTTACTCTCAACCTTACAAGATAATGGCCTAACCGGTGTCGTGTTGCATGCATTATTGAATAAAGATGTAAGTATCACGTTTTGCTTCTCCGATATTATCATAAAGGAATTTTATTGACTAATTTCCGATTGAAGTGTAATGTTAATTATGGCAAGAAAATAAAAGCGTTCCGTCTTTTAATTTACATTGGTTGTAACGATTATTAGCTTTTACTTTAACCAATAAAAATACAACCACCGAGTATTTAAGCGAATGAATAGGTCTCAATAGAAAAATGAATATGACTGATTTCGAGTCGCTATTAAATCGCCATAAAATACAGAAATAATAACCAAAAAAAAACATTATCAACAATTAGCTTTCGACTTAAAATTCTTGTGATATAATTAGTTTAAATATTGTAATGCGTTAATAGCAATCAATTATGATGTAATATCGATTAATTTCTCTTGTCTCTCGTCTCATAGGTGCCAGCAACGAGAGAAGTTCTCGGCTCATTGCCAAATGTGTTCAGTGCACTCTGTCTGAATCAGCGCGGCCTCGCTTCGTTTACCAAACGTCGTCCTTTCGAACGCATCTTCAAAGTCCTCCTGTCGCCAACATACTTGTCGGCGATGCGTCGTCGCCGTAGCGCCGATCCCCTCGGCGATACCGCCTCTAATCTCGGTAACGCGATGGACGAACTGATGCGCCACCAACCGAGCCTTAAGGCCGACGCCATGGCAGCGATTGTGAAGCTACTCCAGGAGCTCTGCGTTCTCGGTTGCGACTCGCGGTACGTCTGCTGGCGTGCGGCCAACAAGACCGAGAATTCGCCTTCGCACACAAACTCCACGAGCCGCCAGTCAAGCGGACAGTCGGTTGGCGTTGGCGTGGGAGATACCGGGGGCAGTGGCGGCGGTGGAGGTGGCAGCAGCAGCGACGACGAGGAAGAGGAGGACGAAGAGGAGGCGAGCACAAGTTCGCATCCCCAGCGAGAGGAACAACCCTCGCCCTCGCCCGTACAGCCCGGACCACCACCACAACCGAGAGAAAAAACACCCATCGCCCTGGTCGATTACATCCATAACGTCATGAAGTTTCTCGACGCGATTCTAAGCAATAACTCTACCGACGATCATTGCCGCGAGTTCGTGGCACAGAAAGGACTGGTGCCGCTACTCTCCATACTAGGACTTCCGAATTTGCCTGTGGATTATCCAGTGGCTCAAGCCGCGCAGGCCGTCGCTTCGGTCTGCAAAAGCATACTCGTAAGTTTTGCAACTATATTACATTTTTTGATTGTTGTAATTTTATATTTGGTTTTAATAGTCCGAACAATCGGATATTGTTAATTGAATGTTGATTTTACATTCGAGTCGATGAGGAAAATATTTGGGAGTAAAATGACACACATTGCTTAGCACTCCCCATTACGTTTATTGAATTTATTGAAACGTTAATTCGACTAAACTTGCTTTTAGATGAAACAATTAACTACTACATTCGTCGCGGTAGTTGCTCGTGCTAACCAAATTCCTGTTACAGAATCTCGCGCACGAGCCACTCGTCCTGAAGACTGGACTCACCCAACTCAACGAGGTACTAAATCTCCTGAAGCCGCTGCACAGCCACATGGAGTCACCGATCGGCTCGGTGCTGCTGCACGAGCTCGCCTCCGCTCCCAACCTCGAGACCGCGTTCACGAGCGATAAGGCGACGCCACTGCTGCACGCGATGAACGCTGCTCACGGCTACGTCGTCATGTTTGTTCACGTGTGCCGCACTGGCCAATCCGAGATACGCAATCTCTCTATGAATCACTGGGGTTCGGAACTCGGGCTCACCGTTATCAAGGGTCTCTCCGAACTGTACATGTCCCTCGTCTGGGAAAGTACTCTTCTCCTTGCTCTCTGTAGCGACGACAGTATCCCTGCTGGATGTGACTTTGGCAAAGAGGACATGGATAAACTCATGCCACCCGAATTGAGGGTAAATTTTATACTTATTAAGGCTTTTTTAATTAATTTAATTCAACTACGATCATTTTTATAATGGATTGTATCGAAATTCATGTGCCTTTACGATCTAAAATTACACTCATATTGAATAATTATAATTTTACAAAAGCAATATGAATTCGTGCATAAATAAAAAGAACTTGGACGTTGGACGATAAAGGTTCGACGAGCACATCGTCAATACAATATTGATGATTAATAGAGAGAGGTGCCGCTAGAATGCGTGGCCAATAATCTTCGATTAACAATTACGTAATGAGGTGATGAACGATATAAACTTTGCAGACCGAGGGTGAGAATTCGTCGTGGTCGACAGCGGCAGCGTCCGCGGATATGGGCAGCAATGGCATGACCACCGCCATGGAGGCCCTGAGCACGGATCCCCCACCCGTGTCCATGGAGGTCGATGAAAACAAGCCGAGCACGAGCACTGCAGCAACGAACAGTGGTACTGGTCGCGCGTCCCCGAGCACCCACCAGCTCAAGTACATCAAGCCCCTGCTGGGCGCATCGTCCCGGCTGGGTCGAGCCCTCGCCGAGCTCTTCGGCCTCCTCGTCAAACTATGCATGGGCTCGCCAACGAGACAGAGACGTAGCCAGCAATTACCGCTTATCCCCACGTTACCGTCGCAAGCCGCCCGGAGCGTTGCCACGGCCCTTAATTGCCTGCTTATGCGCGGTCTGTCGTATGACAAGCTGCCACCCTCGCCCATACCCAAATTCAAACTTACTTTCCTCATCTGCTCCGTTGGATTTACCTCGCCTATGCTTTTCGACGAGAAGAGGAATCCTTATCATCTAATGCTGCAGAAGTTCGTGAAACTTGGAGGACAGAATACATTTTTTGCGTGAGTCATTTGCTACCCGCGTTTCGCAATTCTTGATTTAAGATTAAAAATAAAAAATCTAAAAAGAAATTGATGACAATAATGTCTTATTGCAGAACGTTTCGATGGGCTCTTTCCGCAGGAGGTCAGTTTGACCTCTCGGAAGGTTTAGAACATCCGAATCTTCCAGATGGAACTGGCGAGTTCTTGGACGTTTGGCTAGTGTTATTAGAGAAAATGGTGAATCCCAAAGCCATATTAGACTCGCCTCATGTTGTTTCTTCCAAGTGCACGGGTCTTTACAAAGCTTACGAACCATTTGATCCTATCAAATATCTCATCGATATTCATAAGGTAATTTCAAGTGTCTTTAAATGATGCGTTTACAAATTTAGAACATTATTAACCGTCAAAATCTTCACTGGTATACGAATAACGATATATATATATATATATATATTATTACTCTGTTTAATATTGTAAAATAAGCGCTCGACGATAATAACAATAATAGCAGCAGCAACAACAATAACAACGACAATAATATGACAAAAATTTACAGAAAGCCTTCGAGGCTGTAATGCTGATGTGGGGCAAGAAACCTTTAAAGAATTACGGACCTCGTATGACCGAATCGATACTTTCAATCTTAAGACACATTTTACAAGGGGAGAAAATTATCAAAGAACGCACCGAGAAAGAAGAGACTAGCGAAGCCACAAACGCCACTAGCAGTGGAAATGGAAGTGCGGGCAGATCCGGTGCATCGACAGAACGTCGCGAGGAGCCTGAAGCAGATGTCAATCCAGAGCATTTGAGGCAACTCATGGACATGGGATTCAGTAGAGCGCATTGTATCGAGGCTCTGCTCCACACACTTACGGTCGAGCAAGCCACCGATTATCTTCTCACCAACCCCGCAACCTTACGTCGATCGGTAAGAACCTAATCGATCAAACCCAACTCTTAATACTACTTGTTCTTAATATCATATTAATCTCATCGTGAATTGTCTTTACCTTCATACTATTTTGTCAATCGACGATGGTCATCGTACGATGATCGATAAGAGACAGTGTTTGTTCAATAAAGACAGCAGTAGCAATGAATTTACGCACAATTTTCTTTCAGGACATATCATCGGGCGACGTAAATAGTCAGGGTCTTATAATGGATTTGGAAATGGGCGACGACGATCAGATGATGCAGGCCATCGCTATGTCATTGGACGATTCAGAGCCGCAAAAGGCAGCTGGCACCAGTGCCGAGGAACCGGTGCGCGAAACCAGTAAAACTATCGACGATTTCACTCACAATGCACTCGAGCAATGTCTCAACCTATTGGACTTAATGCCCGACACCGTCTACCGGATTTGCGACCTCCTCGTTACTATAACAAAACGCAACGGCAATGAGTGGCGTGACAACATGCTGAAGCAGCTAATAAACGAAATCGGTGATATCGTGCACTACCTGATAATGGTTGCAAAGATGCAAGATACCGCGGCGGGTAGATACCTCGCACTGTGCGACGAGGCGAATAAGGTGGCCGGGCGTATCTATCTCTACACGCTCTTTTTCGAGAGTACGTTCCAGGAGATGCGTGTACCGTGCGCCCAGATCGTTGAGCAATACGGCATCCTCGACATGCTCGTGAGCCTCCTGGTGGCAAGCGAGGGCCCCCTCACCGGTAGCAAGAACAAAGCGGTTACCACTCCCGCAAAGGACACCAACGGCAAGGAAACACCTGTAGCCACCCAGCCAACCCAAACGCCCAAGTGGCTCGCACCCCTATTGCTCTTGATCGACCGACTCGAGAAAGTCGCTGTGCTGACACAGCGCAAGCAACTCATGCATAAAGTCACCACCCGCACGTGGAAATGGTTCGACCTCAGCACCGGTAAGTGGACGCCCTACTCGTCGGTCAACAATCGCATTATCAACGACGCGTACTGGGCCGGCGAACCGACTGTACGCATAAACTGCAGCAGGCGGAAATATCTCATCACATTCTCGTGCATGACTCAGGTTAGTATTCGACCATTTATTATTTTATCCAGTGAGTGTAACAAAGCAGAAGTCTAGAAACTCGTTTACTTTTTTTTCTTCTTCTTTTTTTTTTTCATTTTTGAACTGACCAGCTCGCCGTTGCTCATTACGAAGTGAAATGTAAAAATTGAAAATTTTTCTTCGTTTTTCTTTCATTTTACGTCTAACAAATATAACTTTTATAATAAATATATAATCAAATTAAGGTGTATATTTCGTTTAAGAAATTATATTCATACATAGCCTTTATCGATAATTGAAATAGCACTAAATGTGCCGGGTAAAGGAATTTTTGCCAAGTTTCAATCTTTTACGGAATAATACTTTAGTCTCGAAATAATTTTATGAAAACGGTAGTTCGTAAATGGAATTAACGAATGGAAGTTATATTGAAAAAAAAAACCAATCAAATTAAAATGGAAAAGTATGGGCAGGATAAAATAAAGCCAATTATTTCGCCTAGATGAACGAAGACAGCGATAATCGTAGGCCAATCAGCATGAGCTTCAAAACATCGAGCGCAGTCAGTGCCAGCGAGGAGACGCCAAACAACAGCAATAATACAACAGCGATAACCGCCTCGGACAGCAATATGGATACCGAGGAAAGTAATGCTACCGCTGGCGGTGGCGAGGATAAGAGAAATGCCGTGATACAAGGACTCGACCCAAGCATAACACCGAGTATCGTTCGCGCATGCGTCAAGCTTATGGCAATACCAGTGGATCGCGATGCCCTTCACGCTCTAATGAAGGTCTGCCTTCGCCTGACCCGCGACTACAGAAACGCCGAAGTGTTCGCCCGCGAAGGCGGCGTGAAACTGCTCCTGGACATGACTCAGGCGAGTAGCTTCATCGGCTGCATTACTCTGAGCACTCTCCTCGTCAGGCACACTCTCGAGGAGCCCCTTACCCTCGGCCTAGCTATGGAAAAAGTCGTGCGCTCGCGCACTCAGACCAACATTCCACCCGTCTACAAGGAAATTCTATTTATGACGCTACTGATAAGCAGTGCTGTATGCCGTAATCCGGATGTCTATAAGCGGGTCTGCGAGAACATACTCAGGGTGGACACTAGCGTGCTCAAGCGCGATGAAGGCGACAATCGATTGGTCGTGAAAGCCCTACCGCCGAATTTTTCAGCCTCATTGCCAATGGTCGAGGATGTCTCGATGAATGTCATCCACGAGCTTCTTAATGCTCTCGTCAAACCAGTCCCCCTTTTACCGGAAGACTCTTCGTCCACGACACCGCCCGCCAGTAGCCCGGAAAAGAAGAATAACACCAGCGGTACAGCCACCACTAATGCAATTTCATCCACTTGCACGACTTCCTCCTCGTCCTCTCGACGAGAGCTGCTGAGAAACAGTAGCGCCGCGACCGCCAACGATCCTATCGATGACGACGATCTCATGTCGCAGATGATACCCCTGAAAATGTACACCGACGTGGGTAACAACGGCAAGGTCGAGCCCGAGGAGGCTAAGAAACCCCTCCTACCCAAGTCCGCGATACTGAAAATGCTCGCCGAGTCGGTGCGTTCGTACAGTGCGATTGCCAACCTCATCACCGAATACACTTACCGTGCAGGTCAGAGCGAGATGATCCAGGAGGATACGACAGCCCTCGCGTTCCTCCTCGACAAACTGCTGCCAATAGTTCCAGAGAATTCGAGCGACCGCCAGTGCAGCAACATGGCGCGCATGCTCATAGCGGCGATCGCCTCCTGCAATCACTCTCCCGATGCTCAGAGCACTTTGGTGACCGAGGTCAAAGCCGCCTTATCGCGGACTCTGGCCTTGACGGAGAGCTCGGAGAAGCACGCCCAGCTCCAACTGCTCATCGGTCTGATCTCAACGATGATCGACAGCTGCCCCCCGACGTCGCACACGCCGCTGCGCGCCTCCCTCAAGATGAACCACCAATACAGCAACGTCAATTATATCGTCAGAATAATGCTGAAGAAGGGCATCATTACGGACCTGGCCAAGATTCCGCACAGCCTTGACTTGTCGAGCCCGAACATGGCCGGCACGATCAACGCCGCCCTCAAGCCGCTCGAGACCCTCTCGCGAATCATCAATCAACCCATGCCTGGCACCGTGAATAATAAGTTCCCTAAGCCGAAGAACAGGAGCGTCCAGGAGGAGCCCATCGGCGAGCAAACGGGTACGACCACCTCCGAGGCGACCAACGCCGTTGGCGAGGAGGCCAACGAGGACACCGAGAACACCGAACACGACATATCTGTGAACGCTGAGAGCCTTGAACCCACATCGGAGAGCCATCAGCAAGAGGAGAACGAGGAGGCCGCCCTGGAAGACATTATGGACCAGTTGCTGGAAAGGTAAAGATTCACAACGCTCAAAATTTCCTGAGATCCGTCCATCATACCATTCCTCTTGTTACATGCATTATTCGTACATGCCGCGTATTATCTTGGAGTTAAATTTTTATTTTTTATTCTTCCAAGTCGCTAATAAACTGATTTCTTTCTCACTCTTGCTGCACAGTGCGCATAAAGTTTTGTCAGATTTATTACGTAACGATTACAATTATCATAACTATGCGGTAATCGTATATTGAGACAAAATCGTTTGCAGTAAAAAAATTGCATGCATCTGTCAGGCGAAGATTTTTTTTTTTTTTTTTTTTTTTAATTTTACCCGAGTTTACGTGTTGTGAATAATATTTTTATATTTATTTATCTTTTAACAAATGCGATGAATGATGAAAACCCATAATTATCAAAATTATTTGAAATTAGTTTTCCGAATCCAAAGAAGTTCTGATTTAATGACATTCGTCAAAATTTATAAATAAAGTAATTACAATTATATAATTATTATATTGTATTATCAAATATTTTATTTTAAGCAACAGTTATCAGCAATCTGACATGTATGCTCGAGCATTTGCTAATTTCCTAATCGCCCAATTATCTTTCAATTTTCGGTCAATTAATGCAATAACTTAAACGTGAACTTTAAAGCACAACGTAAACCAACATTTTGTCAGCTCTGGGAATAATTATAATTCTGTCGAATAAATTTTCACAAAATATTACAATCGACGAATGAAACATTGCTTGTGCTTTTCTCGTTTTATTATTATATTTATTGTTATTATTATTATTATTATTATTATTATTATTGTTGTTATTGTTATTGTTATTATTATATAAATATTAAAAGCTCATGCTCCATTGGCGAAACATTGATCGGAATAATAATAAAACAATTAAATTGTTTCCACTCGTTATCCAAGCCCCCCGCCCCCGAAAATCATTTACTCCTAAGCATCTAAATTCTTACGCATAAATATAAGATATAAATGTAAAGAAGTTAAAGAAAATATTGATTTGCATGAAGCGCTAAAATTGTTGTCAGTTTGTTGTTATACGGTGTCTATAATCAAGTAGTGTACTGTTTTCCAGAGATGGATCGGCCGTGGCGGAAGAGCCAACTTCTCGTCCACATCGGCCGATGGATATTGAAGACGAGAGCCTCGCGATGCGCGACGGCGAAGGCGACTTCGATCCGGCCCGAGACACCACAGTAAGAGTAAATTATCACCTTTACATTATACAGCTTCACAATAATAACAATAGCAACGCCAATAAAATTCTCACACTTTGTGTGTTTCAATTTGAAAAATTTCCCGCCACACTCTACCATATAGTTTTATTATATCACATATTTTGGTAAAACCATTAGTCGTCATTTCTTGTATTTAAATATAATTTCTCAGTGTTATCGTGAAGTTTCTTTCCATTTAAAACGATTACATTGACGTCCAAGCCCTGGTACTTTTAAAGAGGAAAAACCGTTCATATCATTTTATCAAACTTTTTTACCTTTTCAATGGCATCGTAATGCCATGAGCGATGCATTCAATTACATATGAACGTTAGGAACTTAATGGAATTGAAGCCTTGAAAAATAAATGAAAGGTTCGCTTAGACACGCTTAGGCTTAGACGAAATGGGAATATTTAATATCATACGCGAGAAGAATTATGCACTATTGCCATAGTATTATTCTTCTTCTTTACACTTTAAAAATTAATTGATTTAACGAAAATGCATTGCTTAAGCGCAACTTAGCCTGATCCAATCTTATCAATTGATCCAATGATATCTCGCTTTTTAGGAGGATCTAATGAGCTCGGACTCGGACTCCGACAGTAATCCGTCGGATGACAACGAGGACGACGTGCAAGACGATGAAGACGAAGAAGAGGAGGAAGAAGACGATGGTGAAGAGAACGAGGAGGAGGAAGAGGAGGAGGATGAGTCGAACTACGAAGAGGAGAGACTGCAGTTCTACGAGGACGTGAACGAGGGTGTGTTTCGTATGCTGCCGACGAGTGACCACGACGGAAGCAATGTCGTCATGATACAGCATAGCTTCGACAATCAGGATATAAACGCCACGGCACCGACCTCCGGCAGACAGAGCTTGCCCTGGAACACCAATTTCCCCTTTTCTCTCGACCTGTTCGGCGAGCCGCCCTCAGTCTCGGATAGCAACGGCATAAACTCCCATCCGCAGTTTGTCGCCGAGGTCGTTAGACTCGACACTGCCAACAATCGTGCCCAGAGGCTACTGAGGCAGCGCAGATACCAGCTGCAATTGGCCAATCCACGCCACGCTAATCCACCTGTTATCTTGCAAAGGTGAGCCTCGCTCGTTTAAGGACCGCTCTCGAACACCTATTGATTATACTTGAAGTATGATTTTGAATTCGGACTTCAAGTGTAAAATACTCGTATAAGAAGATGTTCGGTCGTGAAAATACGCTATTCTGATATGTGCTTTGGCCGTTATGACATTTGCGAAAGTAATTGGGATCTTGTTGAAACTTATCGACACTTTTATAATTATTCACCTGATGGTCGCCATTGAATTAAAAAATAGTGTTTGCGATCAAAGTGTCAGAAAGTATTGTCTTCAATATACTCGAGGCAAATTTCATTAATTAAGACGAACATACTAGGATGCGGATATTATTATGCTCTTTTTTTTTTTTTTTTTTTTTTTTGTTATACTTCGAAAAATTTTATTACCCTTTGTTACCATATGATAATGTTAAAAATTCTTTAGAATTTTACTACATTTTTATCATTGAACAATGAGTTTAAAAAAAATCATGTACGCACACAGAGCAACCCCCCCCCCATATATATATATATATCTATATGCGCGTACGTGTAAGTAGAAAATTCAGAGGATAAAATGTTTTAATGGTATTGTGTTTGAATAGTATTAGTTTGTTTAAAATATTTTTTCATATTGCAAGGAGTCGAATTTAAATTAAGTCAGTAGATTAGCTTATTTTCTACCTTCATAAAGTAATGATCGATGATTCCTTCCACCTTGTAGATTACTAAGACCTGTAGCACAAACACTTCCATTGGCTGCAAGTCAAATTTTGGGTACTTCGTTTCGGGATACTCGCGTCGTAGTCATGGACAATGGACTTGGAATCATGACTAATCAAGATGACGAGCAAATTGACTTTGTCGATCAGTCGGGGTATTTATTCGGACCGAGTCTTGTAGCAACGTTAAATAATATTCCGACTGCCCTTCATTGGTGGATCGAAGAGAGTAGGCTACTCGATGGATATTCACAGCCAGACTGCTGCGTTGGTTAGTAACAAATGCTCTATTCCATATATTCAAAGGATTTACACATATACAAGCAAAATAAATCTATTTAATGATGTATAATTAATTCTTTGGACTTTTTAATCAGTGAGAAAACAACTTTTATATTTTACGAGTTTATCTATAAAACTAACTCAATTTCATTTCCATAGGTGTTGTATATAAGCTAATTCCTGTTTTGGAAAAGCATAGGAATGCTGAATTAGCCGAAAGAAAAGAAAAGCATAAAAAACAACAAGCAGCGGAGAAAGAGGCGGATAAAAATAAAGAGGCTAAAAGCAGTACCAGTGCCAATGTTGCCGAAAGTACGTTTGTTTCTAATCATATATTTCCTATTTTCTCAGTAAAGTAGACATGCAAAAAAATAATTACAAATTCCGTCTCAAACAGATGAAGTCTCGAGCACTCCTCTTACGGAAGAGCAGAGAGCAATAGCGTCAACCTCCGAAAGGGATGATCCTAGACAATTAATAGCTGCTGTCGAGGCTGTCGTCGAGGCTGTACGTCAAGAATTGAATACAGATGAAGAAATCATAGGTACACTATACATTTTTTTCTTCTTTTTTTTTTTTTTTTTATTATCTAGTTTATTTATTGCAGTTTTACGGAGCTTTTTCTTTTTAATATTTCATAAATAATAATTCATTGAAAAGGTGGTTTCAGATCACTAATTCAGATTACTATTACAATTTATTCAATTGTATTTTAGGAGAAATGGAAGTTACCGTACAAGATGAGGAAGAACGGCCGCCTCCGACACAGGAAGCACAAGTTACCGAAGGCCGAGAATGCCATACGGCAACAATTAATACAGCTACGGAAATTACTGAAAATCTTGTTGATTCGGTACATAGTACATCGACCACCGATGTTTCCAGAATACAACGTAAGTATAAACATAATAATGCTCGCGACAATTTGGCCCCAAACCATTCGATTGAGCCTGCATCTAATTATTTTATTAGGACAACAATCCGATAGGCCAAGCGAAGGCTCATTAACGGCAGAGAATTCTGAAGTTTGGGCGCCCACGGAACTTGTAGATTTTAGCCAAAATTCTAATAATGACTTATCTAGAGAAAATACTGTGCCAATCGATTGGATAAGGAGGTTATTAACCGACGACAATGTCGAGTCAAACAGCGAGAGAAAGTAAGTCTGAAAGACCAATCTCCTACAAATATTAAACGTACTTCCAAATTAATGCTAAATACTATGTCACAAATAAGGAATTTTAATATTGTCGAATACTTATACCTCCTTTAAAGCTCTAAATATACGGTGTTTCATTTTGTTCGCTTTCAAATTTTTAATCTTATTAATTATAATGTTTTTTTTTTATTTGAAATTCGATTCGTTTCAGTGCTAATGTCTCGAACGAGAATGCAAGTGCCTCTGCACCAGACGCCACTAGTACACCCCAGTCCGAGCAGCAACAGCAACAACAACAAATTGGCGCTCAGCCAGCACCTCAAGAAGAGAGCATTCAGGTGCAGTCGTCGAACGATGTGGGGCCAGGTGCCGAACAGGGCCAAGCGTCTGGACCCCAGCAGCTAGCTCCGCAGGAGATTGGACCGGAGGCTACCCAGTCGCAGGAGCAACTACTCGACGGTGTGGATCCGTCCTTCCTCGCGGCACTCCCCGAGGAGGTGCGCGACGAGGTAATAGCCGAGCAGCTGCGTCTCCAACGTATACGACAACGAGCTCAAACGAGCGTCGTCGAGGAGCTCGCCGGCCCCGTCGAAGTAAATCCGGAGTTCTTGGCCGCGCTGCCACCAGCTATTCAAGAGGAGGTACTGGCACAACAGCGACTTGAGCAGCAAAGACACGCCGCGGCCTCTGCTAATCCCGAGGATCCCGTCGACGCGGCTGCTTTCTTCCAGAATCTACAGCCGTCGCTTCGCCAAGCGGTAGGCATTCGTACTTTGGGTTTATATTTTCAAATTAGTGCTTGCAGTTAACGTTACCCTGCAAGATGGAGCCAATTTCCAACAACTCCGTACATTACTGGTTGCGTTACTCTTACAGATTCTCACGGATATGGAAGAATCGCAAATTTCGGTACTTCCGCCTGACTTGGTGCAGGAAGCGCAGAACTTAAGAAGAGAATGGGAAGCACGTAACAGACACATGATGCAAGAACGATTTCTCAATCACGTCAGTCAAAGCAATGCCACGCTATCGAGTATTTTAAGAAATTCGGGCAGAGGTCTGTATTTATCATTTACTTCGCTTATCGCATCTATTGTGACCCCCCCCCCCCCGTTATTTGTAACAATAAGTAATCGACATTTTTTGTGGGTTTATCGATTAAGGACGAGGATCAGCAGCACGCTATGCAATTCATTCGATGCCGCAGCGAGCCCAATGGGACTCGTGGAACAACAGAGGCGACACGAACCTGGCCTATCAAGGAGCCGCTGGTCTAAGACTGCGCGGCAGACAATTGCTCGATCACGAATCAATGGCTTGTTTGTTAGTTTTGCTGTTCATCGATGAGCCTAAAATCAATACTCTAAGACTTCATAGAGTGATCAGAAATTTGTGCTATCACGGCAGTACTAGAGAGTGGGTCGTCAAGGCTTTATTAAATATCATGGAGAGAAGTAATGACGAGAACAAGGATGCCTTTGTCGATTTCGGCGGCAAATTCAGAAGAAAAGGAGCTCATTCGAATACGGATTATTGGTACGGTACTCGCGTTATATATATATATGAATTTAATTATATATCGTCCTCATAATAGCGACGGCTACGTTACTCAAATACGTATACATTATAGATAGACTACCAACAAGACGTATTAAAAAAACTTTATTTAATTAACTAATTATTTTGATATATAAATGTAAATTTCCTTTAGCCATAATGGACTTAATAGCATTACGTAACGCGTGATTTTATCATGTATTTTTATGGATTTTAGTTCGCCAAAGGCCGTGGACACTCGAAATAATTCACAATCTTGGTTAAATATCAGTATTGATGCCGCATTAGGCTGCAGAGCCAATGTTTTTCATATATTGAGGCATGGAGGCAAAAAATACGAACGACAAGGTCACAATATTATTATTCATCCGCAAGCTGCACCCACTGTATGCAGGTAAATAAACAATCGATGTGTGCTTTTAATATTTGAATTTAAGAGAAGCTGAAGGTGAAGCAAAAAAATTTAATAATATCGATTATAATGCGAGGGACAAGTTTTTTTGCAATTAAAATTTTAATGCGTTCGATTACAGGCACACGTTAGAACTATTCATATCCTTAGCCAAGAGTTTTCCTGGATACTTTGTCCCGGTAAAATCAAAGGAGGCCGACGATAAGGAAAAAGAAAGGGAAAAGGATAAAGATTTGAGCATTAATAAGGAAGAGACAGGCGCCAAACCAAAGACTGCGACGAAGCCTGGCAAGAGCGATGCCCCCGACTTCTGGGACATGTTACTGCGCCTCGATTCTTGCGCCTCGAAAAAGGGAAAATCCGTGGCGCGCACGCACTCAAATACGAATTTGGGTGGCGAGCCCGAACAGTCCGTTATATCGTTCGAGGCCTCGTCCTTCGGGCAGCTAATTTCGATGCTGAACTGGTCGGTGATAAAGCGCAGCAGTCAACTGACGGACAAACTGTTGCGACTGCTGTCGCTCATATCTATAGGCCTTACGGAGGTGCATCCGAATCGCCGCCAAGAGGGCGCGGCCAAGACCAAAAAGGCGACGGAGGTGAGCAAAGACTGGAGCATCGCTGCACCCGAGAGCCACATTAAACTGGCAGTTCAAGTATTGACGAGCAAGAGCTGCTCGGAGGAGGGCTTGGAAGATGCAACGGCTCTGCTCCTCAATCTCTCACATTGTCCTGATCCAACGCGACAACTGGTAAAGTGTTTTTTTTTTTTTTTTTTTATACCATCGTTCTCGCGTTTGGTAGGTAAAGCACATTGATAATTAACGGATTATCCTTATAGATATTGAAATTACTCTTGGAAGGCGCTATGGAACTAGCGAGCATGGTCTGCGAGCACATCAACGAACTAATGATGGAATTAAAGGTATTGAATAGGGAAATTAATAGGAGAAACTCTCTGGAAGAGCAACCATCGACAAGTGCTGGCGGATCAAATAGGGGCTTTCTCGTCGATCGGTACGTTACATTTAATCCCCCGACCTACTTTCACTCCACAACAATGAAATAATAAATAATGCCACTGTCACCGGCTATATCTATGACAATAATTCCTTTCAGATTCACAAATGATAGTGTCGTCATCACAGCACCAACGAAACTGAAAGCTGGAAGCGACCTCCAGTTGCCGTCAATGGGCGCGCTCGTTAGTAAGACCTCTAGTCAAGCCTTCTTTCTCCGTATTCTCAAAGTGATCGTGCAGATTCGAGAAGCCGTGCGCCACGCGAACAACAAAAAGAACGCGGAGAGCGCCGCCGCAGCGGCCGCAAATGTGCCTCTACCAACAGAGACGGCGATGGAAACGGCTCCGGCTAACAGCGCTATATCCGAGATTGTGAACAACGAGAACGCAGCCGATACCGAGACAATTGCGATGGATACGACCCAGCCAATCGTCCCAAGTAAGTACAATTGTCGAGTATCCGATATTACGGAGCCTCGTCTACCCTCGATCATCCATTCATCCATTTATTTAATATTCGATCGACAGGGATTTGCACTTAAACTTTAAAATAAATTTGTAATATAATAATAGCACTGCTTACGGTAACCACCAAGCCAACTATTAATCCTTTTTTCAACATTTTGCATAATCGACATTTGATTTTGATGGCTACGCCACTGGTGACTCCGAATGTTAAATAACGCGGTCACGGAGGGGAGGTTTTTGGCAACTAATTACCAAGATTACCAATATTAAAGTATCTCTCTTACAAGGTCCCATAGTAATTCCGGCGGCACACGTGATCATCCCACCGCCACCGCCGATCGCAATCGCCGTGGCAGCATCAACAGCAGCAGTAGCATCGGCATCGGCATCGGCATCTGCCTCGGCATCTGCCTCGGCATCGGTATCGGCATCGGCATCGGCATCGGCATCGGTATCGGCATCGGCATCGGCATCGGCATCGGCATCGGCATCGGCATCGACACCGGCACCATCGGCAACGCCCGCCCCGAAGCCATCAAATTCCCGTAGCGAGGACGAAGGCAGTGGTGGCAAGTTGACACTCCCACTTCTCAGCGAGAGCCTCGTTCTTGATAGCCTATGGGAGACACTGAGCGCGTGCCTCCTCGAACTCGAGCACACGCCCGACCACCACGCTGTTCTCGTGCTCCAACCCGCGGTCGAGGCCTTCTTCCTCGTTCACTCGTCATCGAGCACATCGCGCGAGCGCAACAACGAGAACGGCACCGAGAACCTCGACGTCGTCGCCGACATCGCCCCCGTCTCACCTATCTACTCGGACAACGAAGGCGCTGCGCAATCCGACGCCGCCGCAGTCACAGCTGCAGCTATGGCTGTGCTTGCAGCCGCCGCCGCTAATTCCGCCGGAAATCCACCCGCCGTGACTACGGCGGCTAATGTCAGCGCAACCCCAGCTCCAATCGTCAACCCCGTTGTCCCTCCTCACACCTGGGACGCCAGTGCCACAGCGGTACAAAAGGTCTTGCCGCCAGATCAATTAAAGTTCCTGAAATTTGCCGGTAAGTGCAACAACTAGTCCCCTTCGCCTCCTATCCTTCTTTTCTTGCGCTACGTCACCTATTATAAGATCGCAATAATTAATTGATGATGATTTGTATTAATTTTCTTGATAATGAAGTTTTTTCTTTCTGTCTTTTTAACGGTGCATGGCACGTTAATACACCGGCATGCGCTAATCCGACGATCTATATTCCATTCAATTTTAGAAACCCACCGGACCGTTTTAAATCAAATTCTGCGGCAAACAACGACTCATCTGGCGGACGGTCCATTTTCCGTATTGGTCGATCACACGAGAGTCCTTGATTTCGATGTGAAACGAAGGTACTTTAGAACGGAGCTGGAGAGAATGGACGAAGGCATTCGTAAGGAAGAATTGGCGGTTCACGTACGCCGTAGCCACGTGTTCGAGGACTCGTTCCGAGAAATTCACCGAAGAAACGCCGACGAATGGAAGAACCGCTTTTACATTGTGTTTGAAGGTCAGTGACGGACGAATGATCGAATGGTAATAGAGAAATGTGGCGTGGCACGTGAGATTTTGGCTCTTAAATTATCGGGAGGGATATTAATTGAGTGGACGACATTTGAATAATAAGATTAATAAGATGATAATAATTATTAATAATTAATAATAAGATGTAATCCTGTACAATTGCGTATAACTACATATAAATTGATTTACATCCGTCTTAATCTATTAAATGTCATTTATAATTGTAATGTTTCTGATGCAGGCGAAGAAGGTCAGGATGCCGGTGGTTTGTTAAGAGAATGGTACGTAATTATTTCGAGGGAAATATTCAATCCAATGTATGCGCTGTTCACGGTCAGCCCTGGTGATCGCGTTACATACATGATCAACTCCTCGTCGCATTGTAATCCGAATCACTTGTGCTATTATAAGTTCGTTGGCAGAGTTATCGCCAAAGCTATTTACGATAATAAGCTGCTCGAGTGTTACTTCACGCGCAGCTTCTACAAGCACATACTGGGTATTCTTGTAAAGCATACGGATATGGAAAGCGAGGATTATAGTTTCTACAAGGGCCTTGTTTACTTGACCGAGCACAACATCTCCGATTTAGGATACGAACTAACATTTTCCGCCGAGGTACGTACCGATCATTCAATACCAAATTGGCGACTATTTAACTGTTATTTATTTCCGTTGAACGTAATTTGTAGGTTAATGAATTCGGCGTTAATGACGTCCGAGATTTAATACCAAATGGACGTAACATCGTTGTAACCGAAGAAACGAAACTTGAATACATTCGATTAGTTTGTCAAATGAAAATGACTGGAGCCATTCGTAAACAGTAAGTGTAACTCGCGTAACTCCCGTAACTTGTATGCATTGCTACAATCCCTTCATCACTCATGCCCCCCTCCTCCCTCCTCCCTCCTCCCTCCTCATCCCGCCCCCTCCCCCTCCTCATCCCAATGACATACGTAAATTAATTAATACTTTCGTATAAGCATCGATTTGAGAATCTCGAATCTAATTACCAATATCGTTCGTTATAGACTCAATGCATTCTTGGAAGGCTTTTACGATATTATTCCTAAGCGGCTGATTTCAATCTTTAACGAACAAGAACTTGAATTGTTAATTAGTGGCTTACCAAATGTTGATATCGAGGACTTGAAAGCAAATACGGAATATCATAAGTACAGTCCAACGTCATTGCAGGTACAAAAACAAAAACAAAAACAAAAAAAACAATTATCATAAATTTTGATACGAGCGCTACTTACTGGTAACGCACGGTAATATTGGTAATTACTTTAAATAATCATTTTCCTGACAACAGATTCAATGGTTCTGGCGCGCGTTGCGAGGCTTCGATCAGGCGGATAGGGCCAAATTCTTACAGTTTGTTACGGGAACGTCCAAAGTACCCCTCCAAGGCTTTGGTGCCTTAGAGGGTATGAACGGCGTTCAAAAGTTCCAAATTCACCGAGATGATCGATCCACGGACCGATTGCCCTCCGCGCACACCTGGTACGATGCACTTACTTTGTAATGTAGAAAATATAATATAATCCACAAGACGGACACCTTACCAAGTAGATATATATATATATATATATATACATAATATTGTTTCTTCTAGCTTCAATCAATTGGATTTGCCGGTTTATGAGACTTATGATAAGCTGCGCAGTAATCTGTTGAAGGCCATTCACGAGTGCAGCGAAGGATTTGGATTTGCGTAAATTTTTGCTAAAGAAAAAAAAAGAATGAAAAAAAAGAACATAATCTTACGTCGCAAATTGTTTTCTGTAATGTGTTGCCTCTGCCTATTCGATGAAGTAAATTATATATCTGCGTGATGTAATGAATATGAACTGTGCTTGATCCTCGGTCGAATTCTTAAAAATAATGGAATCAACGTACGTGCATACATTATAACACGCATGTGTATATACATATACTACAATGTACATATATATGTATATATACATATGTATACATATATACGACTATGGTGTAATTATTGAAGATAACATTGGAAAGAAAAAACACTACTCAATTTAGAGTTTATTTTGTTGAAAAGCTCTTTCGTGGAAAGAGAAAGAATGTGTGTGAGAAAAGAAACAGAAAGAGAGGAACTTAACGATAATTCCCGGCAAAATGGAACAGGAGAACTAAACTGTAAGGCTAATCACAATATTAAGATTCTACGATAAGGTTTCTATTTAAAGGGGATAAATAAATAGGCGTCCTAAATATCATAAGGAATCCAAAACGATCAAGATTGTAATATACAACACTAGAGAGAGAGAGAGAGAGAGAGAGAGAGAGAGAGAGAGAGAGCATTATTGGTGATATATTGCAACAGCAGACATTTGATAGTTTGCATATAGTTACAGTGTGTGAATGAGAGCAGCGTGACAGGAGTTTCCTTAAAAGTTTTACACGTCAATGAGAGATGTGAGAGAGAAAAAAATCTTAACGAGTAATTACAAGAGTGAGCGAGAGACAAAGATAATTTTTGTGAAAATGGAAAGCCTAATTTACTGAGAAAAAAAAAGGAATAATAAGTCAAGGAGATTGCAATGTAAAATCTAAATAATCCATTTCATCGCTTTCTTATGAGAGTTATGAATGATTGTACACTATTAGTATTAATAATTCTAATTTTTATTAATTAATATTAATAGATATAGTAATTCTTAATTGATATCATTTTAATATTAATAATTCGAAATGTGATGTTAAAAGAAGTGTAATTTTTCCCTTGAAATTTAAGCAAATAAAGTTTACAGTTGAACCGATATACAGCTACGATCCAATCCAAGCAGAGCGTCAATGATACCTCACGAAGGAGTAATCACGTTGTAATTACATAAGGCTCCTTTCGACATTGTTAGGGAATTATTGCTTAGGAATCGCTCAAATAAATTGAATGTTGTATTTTTTTTTTTAAAAAAAAAAAAAAAAAAAAAAAAAAACAAACATTCTTTTATTGGACAAATAAGTTCATTCAAACCACACCTCTTTCAATTTTATTTTGACATTTTTATCACATATTCCAATTGTGATTTATTATTAATTATTATTTATGGAAAATGGAGTATCGCTGGTGCAGTGGTAGGAGAGTCGTTACCTAGGCAACGGTAGTGCAGCAAACATCTAAACGCTTGTGACTGTAAAAGAAAAAACGAAATAAAGAGAAAGAGAAGATCTTGCGTTACAATACCATTTCGAAGCACATTTTTGCAATATTATTTAAGTACGTACTTAAATCATTATGTGTATATATATATATATATATATATATATATATATATATATATATAATATATAATTCCCATTTTTGAAATTGAATACAATTATTGAATTAATTGATTTACATTGCATTGGTATTACAATTTGGACAATCGTGGAATGATGCCTTTATTTCAATAATTTCAATGTAATGTGTCGACTCGAAGTCAATTTGAAAATCACAAGACTAAAGAATTTTAACACTATAATCGTTGTGACGTTTTAATAAGTCCAAATGTACGTTTTAATAGTATACAACTGAAACGTTTGCATGTAAATTTTATTTATGATTTATCCAATATTTCTTTACAATTCGGTCATGCAAATTAATAACAAACGATAAAATGAGAAAAATTCATCATTGATATTCGAATTGCAGATCTCACATTTAACATATTCAATTTCAAATTATGCATTACAATGTTAACATTTAATTCTTAAATAAATCGTACTGTTAGAAAGTTAACATTAACGTTAATTTAGTAAAATGTTTTATAAGTATTTCAATTCTTTATAAATTAGCAATTGACATCTAACTAATTAGATTAAAGATTGAACTCCTTCCAAACTTGAATAAATGCTTGAAAAGGCTCGTTTTTCTTCTTCTTTTTTTTGTTGTCCCTTGTGATTTATTGAAATGTATTATTATGGATAAATAAAAAATACATAAAAACAAAATAATTCTAGAAGAAATATAAATTAAAGTTATGCGCAAACTCTAATTACTAATATTCTTTATTTTATTTATTATTAAAGCATTGGATAGAGGTTAGTAATTTTATAAATTTCTTAACTTGTACTACTTTTAGTGTGTGTGCGTGTGTGTATTATCAATTATGAAATTTTATAAATATGAGCGATTAAATTATTTAAAGTACTTCATCCATTCAAGAGGCATTCAAAATAAAACTACTTTTTTATCATTCCAATGGCCCTGAGCGCTTATGAAACTTATAAATGTAATTATTGCATTGAAAGTATTTCTTAAATTACACGAGCATGTTGCGTTACAATAACGTAGTTTTCACTATCGAATTTATCCACCACTCAGGCTTCGCTTACAACCTTCGTAAAAGTTTGAAAATATTTTGTAATGTTGGATCGGAAAGTGAAGTATATATTATTGTTCTATTAAAGCATTGATAATAGGAAATTTATTTAAATAGTAATGGCCCAGCAAAAAAAAAATGCTTTCACAACAAAGGGATAACAACACCTTACGGTTCCATTTAATTCACAATATTATTTCGCAATGATATTATTAATGCTATTAGGTAACAAAAATATAATCTCGAATATTTGAAAGGTTGTTTTGCACGCTTATTATTATTATTAGTAGTAACAGTAATTGTAAGTCATCCAAAAGAAATACGTTTATTTTTATGAATATGACAAGTTTTGGCATTTAAGAGTCGAGGAAAATCATCGTTACGTTTATTAGTGAAATTCCCTGCGCATCCGAAGGCTTCAAAATTTTCAACTTACGTTATGGCGTCTACCCATATTTTACAACCCACAATATATCGATATAAATATTAACTTCCAATCAATTAATAGTCACAGAAACTAACAAACTCCATACTTTTATACCCTAGGTAAAAATAAAAATTGTTTTTGCGCGAAATCGTAGAACAAAATATTTAATTACTCGGGCACATTGAGGTCCTAAATATTGGTAGGAACATGCATGTTTACATGTACTTGCGAATATTCGCGAATAGGTCGGATGAATAGAATTGTAGGTCGGATTTCTTTTACTAATTGTACTTAAGCATGCCAAATTTATACTCGGATCATGTACAATTATGCATTGCATTTTCTAATAATCAATCCATAATTTGCCAATGTGCTTATAATCTATTTTCTCCCCCCCCCCTACCCCAATGATTTATACAATAACTAGCCGTCTCGGCGATTTCTAAAATTTTCATCTTCTTTTGCGTTACAATGGAACAGCTAATAATCGAGACTTTATATATATATATTTTACTTAAATTACGATTACATGAAATATACACTAAAAAACCGAAACTCAATGCGTTTTTTTTTTTTTTTTTTTTTTTTTTTTTTTTTTTTTTATATATACACGACTAGTATTTTTAATTGCATTTTAAGAAAACTGTCGATAAAAAAAAAACGTAATATTTTTATTGAATACAGAGTGGGAAACTTAATGGTCCGGACTATGGATATAATTAACGATCGCTAATGTCAACGTTCAAATTTAAGGTTGAAATAATTTTCATTGCAAAATCACGTAAAAGGCGCTTCGTTATCCGTATTCGTAAAATCCAATTAAGCGGTTTAATCCCAATAAGCCGTTTCGTGTAATTGTAAATTTCAAGACGAGCTGCACCGCCGAGTACTAAACCGAATAAACTAAGTAATAAAACTAAGTAATGAATGAAAGAAAGGGACAAAGTGAAGAAGAAGTGAAGGTGCGCGAAGCTATTGCAAGTAGCCGAGGGAAAACAAAATGAATCGTCACTCGGCAGGGGCAACCCAAAAAAGTCAAAAGCCTGAGGTTTCTCATGTAATTGGATCACGAAAAAGAATTTTAATTAAAAATCCTCGACGGTGGTGCATAGTGGGAGCATAAGGAACAATTGACGCCGACGAGCACCGGAGGATTCGCTTCTTGCGATACACGCAACGCGTCCTACGACGTTCCACTGCCTCGACGAGACATAAAACAAAGCAAACAAAGCAATAATAAAGTAATATTCAAGAAGCGCACGGAAGAGTTTGCTCTACGACGCTTTACTAGTATTAAAAAGGGGGCGGGGGAGAGGGTGCTGGAATGAGAGAGCGAGTCCGTTCCAGTCGCCGCGTTCTGCCCTCGCGAGTCTCCAGTCCCCGCCTCCCATCACACAAAGAAAAGAAGAAAAAAATGGAAGAAAAAGGCTCGGGTCGTAAACTCGGCAATATCGATAATTATCATCTGTGTCGGATTTTAGATTGACGATGTCTAATAATATGGGGTAGCAACTCGCGTGCACCCACGCTACAATGTACCATCTTCCCTTGTACTTAGTGTCCCCGTCTCCTCTTGCACGATCCCCGCCCCCTCTCGCCACCTAGTCGGTCGGACCTTTTTCTTGCTTTTATTTCATTAGCGTGGGTAAGGTAAGGTACTTGAGGCCTCGCCGCCGTAGTTAATCCGCGATTCTTGCGGAATAAAGCCGAAGGGCGAATTGGATGCTCTGGCCAGTTTTACTTGATTTTGAAAGTTATTTATTTATTTATTTTTTTTTTTTTCATATTGGAGAGACGTCGGCTTTGCGCTTTGCTGATAAGGATGCTCGCACGAAAACGGGTGACTAATTAATTCCAATATCGAAATTACGGGCGACTTACCTGCATCGTTCATTGTTTGACGATAATAATTTCGCGATAAGTGAGACGCCACGTTTAATATAATCTAATCCATCAATTAATCATATATAATTAATTCCCATCCGATATGGCCGACATGATAAAAGTTTCTCTTTGCTATGTTATGTATCTTTGGTTGTAGGGCATTTTAATGCAGCAACGCAGGCTTTTCCTTCCATTATATAAATAATAAAATACAAATAGCGATTGATTATGCATTATTTTAAAGGGCGGTCTGCGTGGAAAAGGACGAAAAATGAGGAAGAACTTGGCGGCGGCATTGCAGACCGACGTGACAACGGACGACGAATGGGAGAAAATACTGAAGCTCCCCGGCTTAATTCGTACGTTATAATAAATAATAATGATAATGATAATGATGATGATAATGATAATACGCTTTTTTGGGCTTACGTGCAAGTGTGCACTTACGCTTATTGGAAAAATCGAAATGTTCACAATCGTAATGTTCACGCACCTCGCGAGATCTTGCCTTGTATTTACAAACAAACGCACTCGTTCGTCGATCAATCTCCTTAATAAAGTCAGCGCTTTAATCATTAGTTGTCGACATCTACTCGGAGTGGAGTGGGCCCTGTACCAGCATGATCAGCGTACTCAAGAGGATCAAGATTGAATTAGGAGATGACAATTTGAATTACGCGACGGTAAGGCTCTTGCGTGCAATTCGTTAGACTGGTCGGCTTGGGAAGAGGCGACGACGTGGCGACTAAAATGGCCAATTCCTAATCTATTATTTACTACGTAAGTTTGCTATATGATGAACGATTAGCTGAATTTATCTCCCACTGTGTGCGATAAATTTCCCATCGCGGTGGTTCGATCGCCGCGTCGTCGATGCCAAATGAAAGTCGAAAGATGAGAGACACCGTATTTTCGAATTTATAGGCCAAGTGCGACAACATCACGTCGCTCTCTCGTTTTCGTGGCAAAAGCGAGCCCGTGTGGATGTTCATACGCGTAAGTCGAGGCTCGCCATGAAATTTATGCAACAAATTGTTAATTGCGTTTTGCGTTTTAAGCCCTTCTCCATTGTCCGCAGGAAGGTAAAATGATTAATTTTATGTTCGGAGCCAATTGCCCGAAACTCGTGGAGCTACTGACTAAGGAGATAAAGAGACTGCATACTAATCATCCGCCAGAGTGAGTTTGGTTATTCCTGCTCCCGTCTCCAATTACACACACGCGCGCGCGGGCACGATAATTAATCGTTTGATATTTATTAAAGCGGATATGCAATTTGTTTAGATACTCGCTGCCCGTGAACGAACTCTGTCCCAAGGAAATAGAGAGAGTGAAAATTTACGAGGAGGCTCGAGCGATCGAAGAGGCCGAACGATGTATTCGTGAAGGTATTATTATTATTCGCCTTTTAATTTCTTCCGTCTATCTATCCCTCCGTCATTAATCATAATCGCCAACGCGTCAAATTAACAAAGTGAGTAATTAATTGGCCGCAGAGGCGATTAATAGAAGGAAATACGAGGCGGAGCTGCAGCACTTGATCGACTCGCTGTGCTACGAGTCTTGCGTCATCCTATTCCCATGGGCTTTGAAAGACGAGGAGGGAAAGATCATCGACAACGACGCCAGTCCAGTATTCGCCGAGCTCATTCATAAATTATCGGGGCTTTACAGAATCGAGCAAACGGTCCAAGTAACGTTTGACGAAGAAAGCTGCGATTACTTGATTAAGGAAGTGAGTTGAAAAAGCCTCCGCGCTGGGCTTCTGGCCATTTTATTATTATTATTATTTTTTTTTTTTTTTTTTTTTTTTTTTTTTGAGATTAAGTTTTAATGCTCTGAACAACAATAATAGCCTAATAGGGCAAACGAAATGTCACATGACAACGTTCCAGTAATTAATTTGGCCATAATTTTCAACGATAATTATACGTTGTTGCTGCTGTTATCATTATTATTATTATCTTTACGAACCTCGACGAATTCATAGACTTCGCTAGTCTTGCAACCTAAAGACTCGTTCATCTTTAATTTAGATGTACACACGCGTATATTTAATCAATTATTATTACATATATGTGTGTGTATATATATATATATATATATATATATATATATATATATGTATTTATTAAAGCTATTTCGCAATGCTTCGCAATTGTAAATATGGCATCTCTTTTTTCTTAATGTTTTACTAGTTTTCTTTGGAAAAACAAAAAAGCTATTAAAATTCAGAAAAAAAGAATGTCTCGATAAGTTATTCAGTATTCGAGGAGTATCTTTAATTATTCATTAATTAATTTTTAAGTTAATTATTATTTTATTTTATTTTTTAAATAATGTCGATCCAATCATATTTTCTGTATTTATTTAAATTTAGATTCATCGTTACCGTAATTATAAATGCAAACGAAATCTAAAGATTCGACTATTAAAACTTTTCGAAACTTTCGGGAGAAAATTCTCAATTTTCTTATATAATTGTTCATAAATATTAGTTATTCTCCAATAAGAAAATAAGTTTTAATACTCTTAAGTTTTTAAGAGCAAACGCTTCTTCATTTGTTAATTAATCCAATTAACAATAACAAGTGTATTTTTAATTTAATTTTATATGTAATATCTGGAGTATTTTTTTTTTGTGACGTAAAATCGAATTATGAAGGATTATTTTACTTAGAAGTTAAGCATTGCTGATAACAAAGTAAATAATAATTATTCGACATTCTATTCGTACTTTGACAGAGCGAATTCGAAATTACGGAATTGACAAAAAAACTGCTATTGGATGGCACCTGTGTATGCTTACGTTTGAAAATTAATAATAAATCGTCGAATAAGGACATAGACACTGATCTGATGGATATCCTGTTTGGAGAACCGGTAATACCACCAACGATCGACGAACTCGCCGAAGGATGGTTGGTAATATCGTCATTTTTATTTCATCAATAGGAAATTATGACTGTGAAAAGCATTCTACTTTCATCTTTATCGATCTATTCTTTATTTTTGTTTATTATCAAATTGAGATAATAATTAGCCATAGAATGATTTTTGTATGATACAAAGATATATAAATACAGGTATTTTAAAGTGTTTGTAAGGTGAGGTCTTTTGCAAATGAAAATATATTATTTCTCATTGATGTACGTAGGTACATACAGTGGATTGACCAAGTGACATTCTTAACCGAGCCATCATCATTTTCCAACATCGTTTTAAATTAATTTTCAATGCTTTATTTCTTCCTTTTTTCTTTTTCATGTCTCTTAACGCTCGCTTTCGTACAGCTTCGTAGAACGTAATTTGCCTTCGTTATCCAATTTGACGAGAGACTCGGCAAGCATGATGTCGAGCGACGATAAACAATTGACTTTAACAACAATTTGGATTCCATTCAATGCAAGAAACAGAGCCGTTGTATTTCGTGCCCTTTTCCCGAAATACATCGAATCAACATATCCAGTAATACATGGCCTTTATTGATTTTGTAATTTGTAAATAATGTAACATTATTATATCGTCCGGTTGTATAATCCTCAGTACATCGATCCTACGTATGTAATCCCAAAAACCTTGTTTAAATACGACAGTCCAAGGCGAAAGGAATTGCAGGTGGTATTAGAAACGTATAAAAGTGAAGTTTTGCATTTTGGAGTTTTTAAGCAGGACAGGCTACCTAAGCCGAAGCTAATTGCAGTGAGCATCGAACAATTTGACAATGAAGTTAAAGAGAAAACGAGGTATTATGATTATTTTTTTTTTTTTTTTTTTTTTTTTTTTTTTGATATTTTGCGACATAAATTAAATGACCGTCAGAAGGTTGATTAAGAGAATCGTGAAATTTTATACTTCGCTGAATAATTGATAAATGTTACAGTTACGAAGTCTTCATCTGCGTTATTCAAAAGCTTAATAACGAAGCTTTTTTATCGTTTGCTGGAATAGGACCCTATCACGTAAGTGAAAATGAGGAGAAAGCTGAGGAAGAGATGGTGCAATATTTTCCCAATGCCAATAAAAATTAAAATTCAAAACAAAGGGAAAAATTGGCTCCACCGGGAAGGAGGAAATGTCAAAATAACATTTTTCTCTCCGTCCAATCGCATTTTCCTTTCTCTCACTTTCTCTTTCGCTCTTTAAAATAATAAAGATATACAACTGCTTATGTAAATACAGATTTTTATTTCCCACAAATTTCACTTACAACCTGCTCTTCCACACTTTTACTTTTTATAACCACAGCTGCGTCTGCGACCTCTTGCTCTCTCAAACTTACGGCCCTTGGAGCGTACCAGTGGTTTTGTGTGCGAGTGCGGTACTCCAGGAGCAGGGCCAAAGTGCTTAACAGCTTCGCGTGCTTTACGAGGTCCTTGTATCAAAACTGTTTTACGACCAGTCGGAGAGCGCAGTGCCAATTGGTCGAAAGTAATGATTTCTCCTCCAGCCTTGAGAATTCGGCCACGGGCCTTCTCGGTCACACGGAGGGCGCAGATCTATCGAAACAATTAGATTAGCTTAAATTAATGCACGAGTCGACGTACATAAATGTAATTTATATAAATATCGATAAAGTATTGCAATCTTTTATAATTTTATTAGAGAAAGTATCTTATCGACCGTAGGTAATCTATTATTTATAAAAAAGTAACTGAATTATAATTTAAAGTGTTTTTATGCGAGCATAGACTTAAAAATTAGACAAAGAAAAAGAATTGAAAAAAACGAAATTACTGAATATATAATTTAAGTCGATAGTTTTAAGATAATACGATTACATAGTTTATTCAAGTAAAAAGTACGATATTTGAAAAATCGCTATTATTAAAAATAAACAATTGCGAGACAAAAATAAAACTCTACGATATATAACATAAAATCAACTTAATTGTTGATATTTCAATTTTTTATACCTCAAAGTTTTCCATAATAGGATATCCACCAATAATAGCTTATAAAGTAATACTTGCCGTTAATTTTGGGACTTCAAAGATTCTGGCATCGTCCGTAACCGTACCTACGATAACGGCGATACAATCTTCGCGTCCTGGCTTCTTCATAAATCTAGTGATGCGAGCCAATGAAATTGGAGGGCGATGAATTCTGCTCATGAACAGCCGCTTCAGAATGATGCGATTAAACTTTGAGCGAGTCCTTCTAGCTAAAAATCTGTATAACTAAAATGACAACGGAATTAATATTAATGAACTAAATGTTGCTTCCTTAAATACCTTAAGGCATTACAAAACTAAAATGTATCAATCATTATAACGATCTCTCTTTTACAAAATAGAAAGATTGAATAGGATGATTGAACTTACTATAGCGAACTTTAAAATTGAAACAGATTTCAGAATGATCTGCCACAGAGTGCAGTTCGCAAATAAGGAAAATACAACAATATCAATAAACTTTCTCTACTAAATCGTTAAACGTATGTACGGGCATAGATACGCGTAGTCGCGTATACGTAAAATTTATTGAAATTATAATACACGAGTGGAAGATTCAGGTTAGTCCACTAACCTACAGATAACCCAAAAAAAGACGAGAAAAAAAGCAACAATAATATTAAGGATACGCGCGTTCACGTAGGCCAAGAACAAAGGACGTAGGACAAACTCTAATATCTAATTATCAACGATAGACTGAGTAATAGGATACATGTACATACCTTCACCAAAAGTCGTAGATAAACGTCCTGCGACTTGGGCTCCGTTCGCCGAACTTTTCGATCATGTTTATGATTGATGTCAATACCCTAAAACGAAAATCACAATTGACAATACGAAAGCATAGTCGGCACTTGCTGCGAGTGCCGTCGAAGATCCTGGATGCTCCCATCAGGCTCTGATTAAATCAGATTTAGCGAGCACGCGCGACATCCGGAGAAGACTCACCATTTTGACGGAATAGGAAGGGACGCGACGTCCAGCTCGGCACGTTGAGGGAATTCGCGTAAGCGAGGTTACTGTGCACACGGCGCATGCGCGCCCTCCTCGAACGGTCTCGTGACAAACGGAAGTGGCCGGCCGAGCGGCGAAGGGGACGGTTGAGAAGGAGAAGGAGGAGGAGGAGATGGAGCCACTGGCGCGAGTACCGCCATTGTTCGAGTACTCCGGTAAGCGAGAGAGTTGTTTACGAGGCCGGTCGATCCTCTGCACCGCGTCCCCTGGAGGCAAAATACCCTAGCGGATTCGGGACGATAATGAGCTATTAATAGATTGATAGTGCACGTCCGGATCGCCAAGACATGGGCGATTTTCATTCGCCGATGCGCTGCATCTCACCGAGTGCACGGTAAATCAATCTCGCTTGTTGTTGTTGGCGTGGGGTTACGTTAACCAAGTACGGGCTTTTCTTCCCTGGATTTCTGTTTTATTTAGCGACAGTTTTCCGCACACTACTTATCACTTCGCTGCGAGGGTTGTTTGTCATTTGGTCGTGTTTACGGATTTTTGTCTTTTCTTTTTTGCGATTTGAGTCGGTGAAGCTGTCTGGCGTACTCCTGCTCCCTCATTGACGTTCGATATTCTGTTGCAGGGTTCTGACGCCGAAGCCACAAGTTGAGCAAACACTGGATGTCCGGCAGATGCAGAAAAAAGCGAAAAATGCAATAACCTTATTTTTCATCAACAGTGTCCTGTTTGGCGTTGTCATTTTTGATATGTAAGTCTTGGCTGTTGGAGGGGACGTGTGCCCTTTTTTTTTCTTAGCGCCGTGATAAATCTTTTGGAACGTGGTCTGAATTTCAGATTTTACGGCGGAATTGCGTATAAGCCATTTTCATGGATCGAGTGGTGCTTAGCGTCGATATTTGGTCTCAATTCCATATATCATTTGATAAAGTACACGATGGCGATGTATGGCTTAAAACCAGTTACATTGACGGTTAAACAAAGAAAGCTTTTAGGAATATCCGACGACGATCCATTGTTTAGAAATGAAGTTCCCGTACAGCAAAAGCCATCAGAGCCCAGCACGCCGCTCAATTTTTCTTGTATGAATCTCAGCAGGCATTCGAGCACCCTCGGCACTTCTGGTTTAAACGAATCGAGTGAGCGCTCTTCTATGTATCATCCGTTTAATATATTTGTTAAAATATTCTCATTTTGTTCTTATTTATATACTAGAGGATTATTCAACTTCTAGTCCATTTTCTAAATACAATACTCCGCTATCTCGTAAGTCAACGTTAAGTCCAAATGCCACTATTAACAAATTACTTAACAGTTCGATGAATACCAGTTTTACTGGAGACGAACTTATACAAGACGAGGCTGAGCTGCAAAATTATTTAAAAGAAGTTACGAAGAAAGAGCGCAAATCATTATCGCATTCTACTAATGTTGATCAGCCATCAAATTTGTTGAGTTCTTTTTGGTCTCATCCGGCGACTCGAAGTCCAGGGGAAGTGTCACCTCTATTAAGACGTTGTGCCTATCAACTGGCACCGACAGTAGGTACGCGTATTCATAATATACATACATAGTTTAATTTAAATCTAGAAATTGCTAATGGAATACCCTATTAACACATATACCATTGCTTCCGTTTTCTTTTTAAAGACAAGTCCAAATCTTCTAGTCCTGGCGTCGAAGAAGGAAACTCTCCGAGAGCATTTGGAGCTCCCGACGTTTGGAGAAAATACCGTATCGATCCTGTCAAAGTCAATCAATGGATAGCTAACTTGCGCATGGTAATTGAAACTAATATATATATATATGCATTTATATATTTCTGTATATAAATAAATACACACACATATGTATCCTGAGAAGATTAGTCGTCGAGACTATCTTGATCATTAAGTCCTCGAATTAGTTCTGGAAAGCATGTTTATAAATTATTCTATTAATATCGATCGCTAATTCGATCGATTACTACGTACAAAAATTTAATACTGACATTTTTTGTATCAAATAGAGAAATAAATTGACATGAATTTCAAGCGTAGCACTAAATATATAATAAAATAGGTAAATTTCCTTATTGCGGAAAATAAATCGAAACATTATACTTATAGTGTGTGCTGATTCAAATCGCTTTTCACCCGAAACTTAATCCGTATAATGACAAAATTGCCATTTAAAGCAATATAAACTAGCCAACGAATATCATTCGTTTGCTTAAAAGTAAATAATTTTATTTAAGTAAATGATTTAAAAAAGTTTCTCCATCCCCGAGATTGCTTAAATTTATTAAGCTAATGCTATTAACGTGAAATAATAACCATAGAAATTCACATTCTATACGAATGCTCTCGTGCGGATAAAAGTTTGCATTATCCGTATGGGCTCTCGATATGAGATTATCATGTACTTCCGGAGCCCATGTTTTCAAAGAAGCGAACCTGCGTCTTAAGCGTCTTAATGATAATATGAATGGCATTATTTCATATTTTGCCTGATAACACAGTACACCACGATATGCTCACGACAACTTAATAACTTCTTCCTTCTCTCCAGGAATGGCAAGTACGTACAATCACTCCTTAGTTACGTTCGTTTCCTCTTTCGTCTCCCGTCCATCGACCTGGAAAGAGCTCGTGATTGTACTTCCTGCAATTTGAGGAGCCCGAGGTTTCCTCGTTATTCTTACTAAATAGCCGTCGTCGTACATTCCCGTTAACGATTGCTTTGCCTTGCCTTGCGCCATCGTAATCATTAGTGGACCGATCAATAAGTGGATCGATATACTTTGTAACGGCATTGCCACGATCTTCTTCTTTTTTTTTTTTTCTTTCAAATGGTTAGAATATCATTGCGGCTTTTGAAAAGTTCTGCGTCAATTATATTTAAGTGTTTAATTAGATGGTATTTTTAATAGGAAATATCGAGAAGCCGAGTACATTAGTACGTCAATAGTTAGTTTGAATATCAAATGAAAATACGATTGGCTAAATTGCCAATGTCACTTATTACATTACTTTCAACGCTTATAATATTATAACATAATAAATCAATTAAATTTTTTATTTATACGAGGCTTACGAAACGCCATATATATGTTGTTACGAAGCTACTTAACGAAATTATATTGATTTGTTGTTGTGCTTTTTTATTTATTGTTTTTGTTTTTGTTTTATTTTCTAGTGGATTAGCAAAACAGTGGTGGAACGAGTCGCGTTAGAAATCGATAATGTCTGCACAAGTTTGATACGACATGGTCTAAGCGACTCTCAGCCAGGAAACGTCGGTCTGGATAAGCTTAGAAAGCTCGCACAATCATTTTCCGTAAGCGTGATACCCACTCTCCCCACTCTGGTCCCTTTCCTCGAGCTGTCCAACAACCAAGACTATTTGGTCAAGAGAATAAAGGCCCTCGCGAAAGGTGGATCTATGAGTGAATTTAAATGGAATAGCGGTGGTTCGCACAATGGAAAAGAATGGGACTCGAATTTACCTACTGACACAGCGGTATCGCTCTGCGAAATAATTCTTATTTAACGCAATAATTATGCTAAGACAATTAATTAAATCCTTGACGTCTCAATAAAATCATTGTCTTTTAGATTATCATGCATTTAGTTTCGACGTACATGGACACTCAGCTTGAAACTCCCTTAAATCAGCCCGACGCTCGGCCTTTTACGTCAAGGTACCTAGCAAAATCAGGATTCGAATTGCCTCGCAATAAAGGTCCGATAATAGTGAATCAATCATTAAATCCACCGCACTATTGTCTCGCTCTATCTGGAGATTCGATGAGTAACGACTATGAAGACATTCCAAGGGTGAGAAAGTCTCATCGTTAACATTTAAAAGTTTCCTATTTAGTGCGCCTCTAGCACGCATATAAAATTAATTATTTTATGAAAATTTTTCTGTATTTCAGGGGAGAAATAACCTGTTTCATACGCTACTGCTTTTCCTTTACATCGCAAAAACTCGAGATCACGGAATGCTTGGTCGCGTTAATCTTGGTATGTCTGGTGTGAATGTTCTTTGGGTGATCGATTGATTAAATTGTACGATTAAAATTTTCATATATCAACTAATTTTCACTAATGGATAAAGACTTTTCGTTCTTTCTTTCATTCTTTCTTCTCTTTTTTCCATTTCTCTCTCTCTCTCTCTCTCTCTCTCTCTCTCTCTCTCTTCCCTAATTTATTCTTATGAAATTATTATTTAAACAAATTCTCAAGCCCTTTTTTTACGAGATGTAAACGACTCTCTTGAACTAAATTGAATATGTACATCATGAAATAACTATTACAATTAAAACGTGCGAATTAAGTATGTAAATGTTTTTCTTTTATGTTTTTTTTTTCTTTTTCTTATAAATCGTACTTCACATGTAAAAATATACATGAATCTGGGATAAATAACTTCAAGAGTCTTCCAATGATAATTGAATAATTGTACAATAATGTTCACCGATATCGTATGTAAAATTCTAAAATGGCTTCATAATATTTTTCATGTAAATAATTTTCATTATAAATTTAAAACATACAAATTTGTAGGTCTTATTTATTTATTTATTTATTTATTATTCTTAATCCTTGCGATAATTTCAAATAGTAACTAAGTCAATAATTACTGATAATTAACAAAAAAAATTTTAAATGAAATAAATTTTGATTTTTAATTAACCAACAATGAAATATCAAATACTAGAAAAATGAACCCAACATTTCATTTAATAATACTATTAATTATTTTTATGTACTTCAAAATATTTGAAAAATTTCAGGTTACATTAAGAGCTTTTAGATAAAATAATTTCTAACGATCAACCAATGATTAATATAATATTAAATAACGTCATTTGTCATTGAATTAGACTCATTTTACATTACAGTTAAAATATCTATAAATTCCACACTTTAATATAATTTGAAGTAAATGTAAGCTATATTTCAAAATTCTTAACGTACTGGCATTTATAATTTTCAGTAGCAATTTTTGTAAAATTCTTCCATAATGATTTATATTTTTATCGGCGATAATTTAAATTATATTTCAATTTTATAGCGTATTGATTTATATTTTTATATATATATATATATATATATATATATATATAAAAAGAAAGTATCGCAGTGTTATGTCCATCACGAATTTGAAGATTTTAAGTGTAACAAATATACAATTTACATTGGCCATCGATGTTTCAACTACTCTCATCCATTCCTATTTCTAATTACGAAATTAGAATTCATCAATTGTTATTATTATTACATACAATTTATAACTATATTATGGCATTTCATCGAGGTTTCTTTCATGCACTTGTACACCTTAGTGGTAATGCTTTATGAATGCATACACTTTCTGTTGAGGTCGTTCTAAGACTTTGTAAAAATTTCACTACATGTTCATCAAACACACGATGAAAGATTTCCCATTAAAAAAAAAAGAAAAGAAAAAAAAAACATTCTCATCTTTAGTTGCAATGACATTAACGGATAAAATTTATTCGATATATTAATTAATGGCTCTTGAGTGGTCGAATCAAATTTCTTAAAATGTACAATTCACATCACTATTATCGATATAATCCATCACTTCTGCTTTCTTCTAATCATCTATTGCTGCTGTTTGCCCTTGAATGACTTATTTCTGTTATAATAGTGTGTAGTTCTTTTATACAAATTATTCAATAAAGAATTGAAGATGAATGTTTCTTAATAAATGTTTCTTTCTAGGCAAATAAATGTTATAAAATTTAGACAAAGTACATAAGCGAATAAAAACTTTTTGATAAATCATATCATATTTGATAGTTAATTATCTTTTTAATTAGAGATTATTTTAGTGAATGTGCATTCTAATCAAATCGTTTAATTTCAAATATTATTATCAATAAGCAAATATCAAAATTGACTATGATACATAATACAGGTAATCGAGGCATTTCATAAAAAATATTTACCACATACATTTATTTGTTGTTGTACGTAATAATAATAATAATAATAATAACTTCTGGTGTTGATTTATTGTTATAAATATTTTGAAAAATCTTTTGATAAGAATGATAAATAAAGTACTTTTATGGACAATACTGTAAATAGCTAAACTAGCAAAGCTATAAAAGCATGGATTTTCTCGATTCGGAATTCGGAAAATTCGGCAACCTCGCAATTTTATAGAAATTTTACGAGATTACTTTATGTGTTTGAGGTGTGTTCTTTATAGAGGGATTTATGGGATTAATTCTCTAAGATTCATTTTTCTCAAATAATAAATTCCCAATGACGATTATCAGCACTCTGTAGTCACAAGTTGCTCTATACATTTATTTATATCGATTGTCCTTTTGTTCCTATAAATTTTTCCATAGACATCTGCCTAAAAATTCGTATTAATATGTCACAATTTAGCTTTTATATTATATAAACATTGAAACATTGCTTATTACACTTTCACCATGCGAGTACAATTAGGAAAACAAGTTCCTTTTCACTTTTCTATGCTGAAAATATCATAGTTATAAAAGGTGGAAATACGCAACCACATTTTCTTTCGCCTAACAGTGTTTTGCAGACTAATATTATATCCCATTAGCTTTAACAAAAAACAAAAAAAAAAAACAAAAAAAAAAGAACAACAACAATTATATAATTATCTGAATTGTTTATATATTTTTAAACAATAGCTGTAATTGGAATGTTAATTCGATATCGGCTTTTCTCTACTTACAACAAATATACAACAAGTCATTTAGACAGTTTAAATCTAATACTCCATACTGATAAAATTGTTTAAATAAGTGAATACGTATTTGTTAAATGTGCTCTTTCTCCATTTAAACTTCATTTTTCAACCAATTAACCTTCATAATGAACGAATACATAAAACATCTTCGATTTCTAATGAAATTGCAACATTAATCGTATAGAAATTTAGTTTGTACACATATGGCGACTGTTTTCGTCTTAACAGTAACCAACTGCTTAAGATTAACATTTTTATGAAAATTATGTTTTAATTTAATGTAAGTGTTATAATTTATAGGACTTAATATTAATTTAAAATAAAAATTGATGAAATAAGACGAAACGGATTCTAATTTTCGTATTAAAGCACAACAATGCATTTTATTAAATATAATTGCGTCTTTATAAACATTTACGATTCAAATTTATATCGAAATATCTATACGTGTTGCTCATCTCTTTTTAATACCTCAGCACAACAATAATTATTATTGTATTTCTATCAAAATTAGCATACTTTTGGAACCGGTGCTGATAAAAATTTGCAGTGGCTTTATTATACATATTCACAGATAGTGTAATGAGAAAAGTATTAGGCATGAATTAAATGAATAAACTTGCAGATTTAATTATATTATCTCATATAAATTGATCCAATGAATTGAATTTCTTAATTTTTGTACTTTCGTCATCTTATGAAACTTTATAATAATTATAGGTGCGTGTATACGCGCGCGAGTATTATATATCGTCGTTTGATTTCTTAATGGCATAATAATCGTCATTTTTAAAGACGAAAAATGTAAATTTTGTTAAATTTTGCCACGCTCTTATAAAATAATGTAACGTCCTGTGACCAAGATGACACTGCTATACAAATACCACCTAATAATCATTTGATTAATGGACATGAATTCCACTTCCTCCAGAACTCAATTATCAAGTATTATCAAATATTCGCCTTTATGTATTAATAAAATACTATATGACCATATTGGTCGAAGCCAATCTATATAGATTTCAAATGAGTTTACAAATCGAAGAATATTATGATTATCATATAACGTGAAAATTACAATAAACTTGATAATTTTGATAAAATATGTAAGGTAATAAATATGTAAGCATATTTTCCCACGTGAAAAACGTTACAATATTGTTTGAATAGTTTTGATATTATAGTTTTGATATTGCATAATAAGCTCGAAAGCAAATTATTTTGAAGTGTAATTGAATTCAAACTAATGCTTGACGAAATTATTGGTATTTAAGCTGAAAACCCATTATCATAAAATTATGAGCGCCTATAGGTTATTGCTAATTAATATTTTACAAAGTCTTATGATAATTTTACAATAAATTCGAATAAATGACAGAAGCTTGACAATTTTTAATTGTTTAAAATGAGCTACGGGAATTCGTTATAAAATATTTATTTTTCTTCAATGTTTAAGAATGTTGGACATATTTTTATGTATTTTATACTGAAAATGCCGTAGAGAAATAATATTTTTGTATGAAATTATGGATTTTTTCATTAAAATTGTACATACCCGAAGTTTACAGTTATGAAACATTGTTTTACAGACAAGATTATATAGATTTTTGTACGTAATTCACACGCAATTGTAAGATTCGATTCTATTTATCGTTTGTTCAATATTATTATCATATGTAATATAGGATTATTTATTAAGATTGTGGTTATTTGTTTTTTATGCGTGAGTGAGTGAGTGAGTGAGTGAGCGCGCGCGTGCGGACAAACGGAAATAGAAATAAAATGTAGGCGTATTGTATTGTATTGGCAAGCTCGGAAAATACAATTAAATCAATATAATAATGATGAAAATTATAAAAGTAATTGTATAATAAATTTAAAACGTGAAATATATTTTCAAACCTTATTTATGTGTCAAGACCATTGGAAAATATAATACTTTTATAATTATGGCGCTGCGCATTAATAATTATAATTATACGATTGAATTAACTTAACATATTGTATTCAAACGTTATATCTGTAGATAATGTGCATTTAAGTTGACAAGACGAATTAGTTGAAAGTTAATCATTAAAAACAAATAGGTAATACGTAGCGTGACATCCAATAAATTTATGCGGTTAATATTTGCTCAGAATTGTGGATGGGAAACGATAGGCAAACAAACGATAATTAAAAATATTATTGTTAGAGCGCAAAAATGGATAATAGATCGACCATTAAATTGTAAAAATTCTTAGATATTTTATATGTTTTATAAAAGTTTGAATGAATAAAATATAACACTTGAAAATGATAAGGATTTCACAACCTTATAATTTATCCTTGCGATTCTATAAACTACTCGGGCGATCAGTGCTAAGCCGCTATTACGCAATATAACCAATTTGCCAAATAGTTTTACGAAACTTGCCTCACTAATTTCGAGCCCTCAAAACGCAATAATTAAAGGCTCGAATTGTTTAAGCACGAGATTATGCATACATTTCTACGCATTCCAATTCGCACTTTCGCAAAATCGAAATATCCCCAGCACTATATTAGTGCGAATACTCGCATTATTTCGGCTCTTTGTAACCTATTGGAAATAAATGTTTTATATCGAATTATTGTAATTGTTGTTATAAGATATATGTGGACGTTGCGAAGAGGATGAAAGTTGGATTTTTAAAGAAGAGAAATCTAAATAACTTGTTCAATTTTATAAATCTATTTTATTAAGAAGCAGAGCCAATAAATATTTTTAATCAATCGATAGCCGAGATAATATTTTAAATTTGTAATTTTTTATATTAAATTATAAATGTAATTAATTTTTTATTTTTTCTCTTTATCGTGACTTTTTTACATTAATAAACGCAGAAAAGGTGAATGCTATTAGAGCTGTAATTATGCAATAACAATAATAAAATTAAAAATGTTACAGACCGAGTGAGTAATAATTTCATAAAAAAATTCTTAAGATACAATGTAAAAACCAATGTATCGTTACTTAATTACGAGCGCGTTGCCTTAGTCGTATGCCTGTGGATTTATGCAGTGATCATAAAACAAAATTTACATCAATAATTTGTTTATCGAATTAATCGGCGCTAAGATATTTGTGATAAAAAGTATACAATTTGTAATATTCGCTATGTAAATGTTAGAAAGTATTGCCATTTTCATTCACAATTTGTTATGCCACGGCTAAGACGACATTTACATTTCAACAATGTGTCATAACAAAATGTTGCAAAATAATAATTAACCTCACCCAAAAGCTAAAAAATTAATTAAAAAAATCAAATGAATCTATATTAAGTGTAAAAGTAGTGCTTACAGAATATTCAATATCTTTTAATGGTCCATGCATTTATTATTGGTACTAGAGGTGTAAATAATTTTTATAATGAATTTATTTTTTTTTTTTTGTACGCAATATCACGTTTATGCTCTAACAATTGCTAATAGTCAGTAATTTATTTGCGAATCACTTGTGAGCATAATGAGTATATAATTGATATTCTTGTACAACGTTAACTTGCCTTTTATATAATCAAAATTGGTTGTAAAACGGTAAACATTTGGAGCTAACAAATTTTTATTGTTACAAAATACAAAAATAAACTCGATTATTTTACAACTATGCGCACGTACACCTTTACACGTATGTATACAATTTAATTAAATATTTCACATTATCATTGGTAATTATATTGATTTTATGAGAGAAAGTATTTGTAGCATTGATTCTCGCAAAAACTCATAATCATATTTTTTTAATAATCTCCATTTATTTTTTGAAGGTTTAATTGAATTCTGTCGCGTTTTGTAGCTGATGTAATATCACCAGCATTAATAATAGTAGTAATAATAATAATAATAATAATAATAATAATAATAATAATAATAATAATGTAATAACTCGAAGACACTGGTAATTCGTAGTTTTATTAAATAAGTGTAAACAGAAAAGTCATACAATTTTTAAAGGATACGATCTCGGACGACCATTCGATACATTCGAAATTTGAAAAAAATTTTTAACATATTATGAAGCGCAACAAGTAAATTATCAAGTAAATTGTAAATTTGTTTGTATAAGGAGCATAATAATCGATAATTATAATCTTTTCCTTATAAATAAAGTATATAATATTTATCGATAAACAATGTATTTTACATATGTAAATGAAAATGGTGTAAAACAGATTTATTATCATAAATGTTATTTCGAACCGAAGGTTAACAAATATTGTCTATAATTCTTCAAGCTCCCGTACACAAATGTGACTTGCGCGCGTGTTTACAATCGGCTAAGGATTTCTGCGTCTCCATATCTAAAATATACAACAAAAACATTAAAGCTTTAAAGGCATTTTATTTTTGCCTCTATTAAATTTTTATATTAATGAATAATTCATCGTACATTTTGATAAATGTCGAATACAATGAGTTGTTACGTTGTTAGTTGTTTCGTTGCACATAATACGTTAGAATGCATTTTCTCCTAAATTAGTATTAAGCGAAACTGCTTTGAAATGACAAAAGGATGAAATTTGCAATAAATTTTAATTTCTTAGGAATAAAATGGTTTATTTAGGCATTTATATGCATACATTGTTTAAATTGCAAATGATGAAGGAATACAGTTTGTAATGATTTTAACTGACGTATCGGCTATACCTCTTAATCACATTTATTCCATAAATCCTTTAATTCTGCTCTATTTTCGAGAACTTTTCGAGGTAATGAAATTAACTTTTAACGATGATGTGCACCAGCTATTAAATTTTTTTTTAATCAAATACGTACAAGGCCTTGAGCGTAGAGTAAGAGTAAAATAATCCGTTTGCTACTACCTTTCATAAAAAAAAATGAAGAAAAAAAAAACAACAAAAACAAAAAATAATACGCATAAAAATAATTGTAGTGAATTATTATTAATCATTGTTATTGCCATTAACATATCATTTGCAAACGAAAACATGCAATATCCTACGGTAATTCTCTAATTAATCTATTATTTACGACTAATCGATAATTGCAAGAGTAAAAACATCCATTTATAAAAAAAATACCGAAAATCATATAATTAAAATAGCGCTACGTAATATAAATTAACATGCATTAAATTAACAATAATGTCGCAAAACGAGCTCGTCCAACCGAGCATTTTCACTAATCGTTTTATCCGTATTAAATTATAACAAGAAAAGAAAATTTCGACATTTCATTAAACTAATACGCCACTTACTTCAATTAAATCGTAGAAGCGCTTAAAATTCCCGGGCAATTATTAAATTACAAACCACCAGCATCCCAATTTAACGCAAATGAAATTCCCGACTTAGGTGATAAACACAAGATTTCGTTGATAAGCAGATCCTCACCTTTGAACGGATTTACAAAGATCGATACAATAATTTTAACATCACCTTATTGGCGCAACAGCCTCACCCGCTAGTTTATCCGGCTTCTTTCACGCCGTTTTCTCACACGTCCAAATACTCGCGAACCGAGCATTCACGCAGGATCAAAAAGCCTAACTGGACATTGCATTCGTATAAGGATCAAAAGGGAGGAAGGATAGACAAGCGGCCGCAACAAGACGCGTCGCATCGTGCACGTAAAAGTGTGTGTGCGTGCGTGTGTGCAATGGTCGAGCGGGCATGACAAAATTGCGTCGACGCAGGCAATAGGCGATTTTGAACGAGAGCGGGACGCCCCGGGGGATTGCTGAGCGTGTCGTTATTAGGCGGCCAGGGCCAACGAGGACGATAGCCGAGGAAGTCACGGGTCGCTAGTCGGCCGAAAAAGCGAAAAAACCGCGCGTTTTCCACGGCGATCGGTGTACGTCGGCGGGGGACGGGCGGCCGGATACGACGAGGGCCAGGAGGTCGATAGGCGCATGCGCCCCCTGCCATTGATACTCTTCTTTTTGAAAGGCCCCCCACCCGGGGCTCGAGTCCGCCGTCCCGGCGGCGTGCGTCGCTCCTGGCATCGGCTGCAGCAGCGCTCGCCAGTGTCCACGGAGTCACGGCCCGAGCGTCTCGAGGTGTCCGCGGCTCCGCCCATCCACGCATCTCCGACCACGCACGCCACTGTCGACGACGAAGACGACGAAGACGAGGACGCCGTCGCGAGCGAGAGCTCAAGTAGGCCGCCGAGCCGTTTGGCACGCCCGCCTGGTGGTGCCCCGAGCAATGGCAGCGGCCCGGTCGCGGGCGCGCCGACGACGACGACGCCGCCGCTGAAGGTAAGTCGGCGTAAAGCGGCGATCGCTTTCACGTGACTTTTCCCAGTGGACGCACCGGGCGATGGACCGCCGAGACGTTGACGGGGCCTTTGCACGTGCGCCACCGTAACCCGGACCTCCTCGTCGACGGCCTCGCTCTTTACATGCTGCACCGTGGCTTTATTGATAAAGGGGACGCACTCGTGCATGAATTCGTACGGAATCGCGGCAACGAGGAGAGACGAGAGCATCGTCCGCTGGAAAATGAGCGACGATCGCAATCCCATCCATCATCTCTATAATTTTCCAGCATTTTCCTGCTATCGGTGCTTATCGGTCGTTCGGAGCAAATATATCTTATCGCGACATACAACGTAATCCACGCACCACCTGCGATGCCCATTATAGTAGTAAAAGCGCAGACTCGTCTTTTACGAGCGACAGACAATCTTATTATTATAAAATGCCATTTACGCTTGCGGATTTACATAATTATTGGAGAGGCGCGCCTCTGTGCTTGTCAAATTTTCCAATGCCTCGTAACAATTTACGGAATGGACATTTGCCCGTAAATTGAAACCTATACCCACATATATATTAAGATATATATATATATTAAGATATATATATATATATATATATATATAGTGAGTGTGTGTGTGTGTGTGTGTGTGTGCTCGCGCGCGCGCGCGTGCGTGTGTACGCACATTATTTACTTCCTTGCGCGTGTATAGAGTTGTTTCTTTTCAGTTGTTCAGACTGTGGTGGAGGAAAAAAAGTGGCTTTTTTTTCCCTCTTGATTAATGAAATTTGTAGAGCAGTCGTTGTCACTATCTCGTGGGCGAACTCGCTCGAGATCGATATAACCAGCAAGTTTTACGCGTTTTAGAAAATCTTAGAGAATCTTAATACGATGAAACGGCCCCTCGTTCGTACCTTCTCACGTCGATTTCTCAAAGTCACGAGCTTTTGAGCACTAGAGCGACAAATACGAATGACACTCGAGCGAATAAACACAAACGCACAACTCCTCCCGCAAAAATAATAAAGCTACACTTAATTCTGTTTACAATGTTTCTTAGGGAATACACCGCCGATATTCATAACGTAAGGATGATAAGCAACGGCTTCCGTATATATCGCGTGCGCGCCCCAGGGCATTAATAATTGCAATTTGAGGAGGAAGAGGAGTCGAACGGACGACGAGGACGGCAGGTGCGCCGCGTTGTTCATTAATAGAATGCTAAGAGCGCGTCGATCGTAAGAAATAATTGGATGGGGATACATGTCGAGATTATACATAAAACTGCATTGTTAATCGACATTTTTCTTTCTTTTTTTTTTTTACTTCTTTTTCTTCGTTTTTTTTTTTCACGGCACGTGAGAGGAATTGACAATGCCGCTAATTTCGGCCAATGTCAAATAATTGATCGTTAATTGGAGCATGTCAATATAAAACTATATGCGCTTAATCTCTTGCCCTACGCAACCTCGTAAATGACGAATATTCGGCAATTACGCGTGAAATGTTAGATTAACCACAAGACCCATTTGATTACAAAACCTTATAACATATTCCCCGTCCCTTGCACAGGCAATTGTTGGTTATTACATAAAGAAATGGTATTTCCAATATCCCCTAATGCCGAAAGTAACGCTAACCGGTGCCTTTTACATAGTTAGGAAAACGTAAAGTCCACACGTCGTCGTCATTCCTTATGTGCGGTTTAGAAAAAAAAAAAAAAAAAAAAAAAAAAAAAAAAAACCATAAGATCGATATGATATCGAATAACAAATTGCTCTCAAGTTTCAAAGCCGTACGTACTCGAACTTAACTCCCAAATCTATTGGCGTTGTTACATTTCCTAATGCCATACTGCACGATAATATTTAATTTCATTAAAACCATTGAAATTAATTACATTTATTTTTTGTTTTATCGGGTGTAAGGAATCGCGCGTCATGTGCACGTAAAAACGCACATGCGTCTAGAACGTAATGTTACTTTGTCAATTTTCCAACTAACGTACGTAAAATTCTTTGTCGTACATTAAACGTGTAAAATAATAGTTTTCGTCGTTTCAGAATTAACGTTTACGAGAAATGATTACCCATGCGCAATCTCTTATTACATGAACATGTCAAGCGGTGTGTGTGTGTGTGTGTGTGTGTGTGAGAGAGAGAGAGAGAGAGAGAGAGAGAGAGACAAAAAAAAATCATCGGAGCATATAAGGTGTTAACTCGAATTGAGATAGAATACGGATGAATGCACATATCGTGACGAATTGTTATATTTAATTGCATGTGCAAGTAATATTTACAAGAAAAATTCAGTTAAAAAAATAATTCCTTATAGTTTAGTCTTATTTATATGCAGCCACTATAAAATTTTTAGTTTATACAATCATTATAATTGTATATTCGAAAATCTATACAATCTATATTGATATATATATATATATATATATATATATGTGTGTGTGTGTGTGTGTGTGTGTCAATTTTCGTACAAATTGGCAAAATAAAACAAAACTCATGTTTGTTTCTTTTCTCTCTCTTCTTCTTTTTACGATATATTGTGTTTACAATTCTTTTACAATGTATATTGTTTCAGCAAGATTACTCGCTTAAATATAAATGCATCTTTCTCATTATTAATGTTTAATATTGAATAAATCAATATATTGTTAATTTAATTTGTCGATTTATTATAATGCAAATTTTCAATAATCTTCTATACTACTACTGGCACCTGGAATTTAATTGCGTCAACAGCCAACTTCAATGGCCAAATTAAATTATTTATTTAAAATAACGACGATGCTTCGTTCTCTTTGTTATTTCGTAAATGTTTCATTGTTTATTGTGAAATAATGGAGAGCTCTATAACTTTACCTTTATTCATCGACTAGTAGTTTTTACTTTTTATATAAAGATAATATTCGATCGATTTACCATAAAATATCATTGTAATTTAATGCGAGCAATCAAAGAATAATAGACAATTTTTCACGTCAAATTACATTTTTAACTTATTCTTTAATTAAATATTCGCGTATACATTCCAATAAATGACGAATAATGATACTTTTGATTTATATTACAATAATGGTTAATTATCATTGTCAGTCATTTTTTTATTCTCTTCATAGCGCAACACGTGATTTTGGACATAATTTTTTAACAATGATTCGTTACAATTTAATAATTACAAAATACTTGAACAATATTCCGGCTTTTAAGTTAAATAAAAAATTTATTATGCGATTTATGAGAAGTTATGATTCTTGTAAGTAAAAGCGTTGCCTCATAATATTTCCAAGTCGTTACATAAATACAAATTAATAATGCAAATTACTATCCTGATTTGTTGCACATAAGAAACGAATTTTTTGTTTCTTGAAAGACGTAATGATAATTCATTAAAAAAAAAAAAAAAAAAAAAAAAAAAAAAAAAAAAAAGTACCGTATTTAAAAATATTCATATATTCTGACCTGACCATTGATTTCTTATTCAAAATTCGGTTCATTAACAAAAAAACACAAAAAAACACGAGAAAAGAAAAAAAGAAAGAAAAAAAAATTCTACATTTAAATGTATAAAAGGCAATGGCGAATGCAGATATGCTTGAACTTGTAATTTGCGGCCTTTTGCTTATTGCGTTGAATTTAAAGGTATTAGAATTGGAAAAGGAAAAATAAATACAATTATAGTTGTACTTTTAACAATGTCGAGTTGATACAAAACTACAATGTGATAACGTCCACATACATCAACTTCTTACACGTACATCCACCTCTTACACTTACTGTTGCAAGTACTAACGCAATAAAAAGAGATAATATTTGATCTTTCTTATAAATATAGTTAATAGATAATGAATAAAAATATGGGATAAAATAATATCAAATTTATGTGTATGTAGCAATATTAAGTAATAAAACTATAATAAAGGCCTTTAATTTTACAGATATACAATATATAAACAATTGTAGATTGTCTGAATATTTTCCATTTAAAGCAAAGTCGACAGATAATTTGCTTAAAGAAGTAAAAAACGGAAAATGTATGGATTATAAAATTGCACTAGTAAAATCAAAATTTATCTCTCACTCGGTGCTATTTAACATTTATCCTTTCCACGAAAATTTCGGTTTAAAACTACGAATTGCCATATAATTAATGCTATTTCTTTTCTTTATTGTTTTTCTTTTTTTCTTTTTTTTTTATTTTAATTTTTATTTTAATTTTTATTTTTTAATATAAGCTCACTTGTTATCTGCTTAAACGCAGATATATTGAATTATTTATGGCTATTGAAAAAAAGAAAAAAGTGAATTACTGACTCGGTATCCGACTCCACTCCGCCAAATGTAATAACGTCATTAGGAATTGTTTATATTTTACATATCTAAAATTTGTTGATAATATTTAAGAATGCATTTTAACATGTACGTAAATACGTATGCGTAAATAAATGTAAAAAAAAAAAATGTAATGAAACAATTAAACAAATAAAGAAGTAAAAACTCCGAACATAATATGAAGTTTAGTCATAGATATTTCTTAAAGTACCGCGTAATGTAGTTCTTAAAATGAAGAGAAACGTGATGTAATAAATAGTGAGTGATTAATTTAAACGAGAATAAGACCGTGATGTTGGTCACTTGAAAACGAGAGTGCGCTGTAACGATTGATTGACAACATTTACAATAATAATGCATTCGAATTGGTTTTTTTTTGAAAAAAAATAATTTAATGAATTGAACAACGAATTCTAAAACACCGATCACACATTTATCTCAAATACAAATCTTTGTATTATTTTTCTTCTCTACAATTATCCGTCTATTTACAAGGATAAAAATTTTTCTTATTATAATTTATTTATTTATTTATTTATTTATTTATTTATTATTATTATTGTTGTTTTAATATGCTATTTTTCGTTACACTTCTTAAATAATCTTATCTTTATAAAATAATGATGTCATTTAGTTTATCTTGGTATTAAATATAT